ACATTCTTTCGATCCATATCTCACTCCACACCAGGTAAGGCCGTCATAACCATGACATCGACGTACACATCACTCAGGCAACAACAGGCCCTCATAAGTGAATATCCCCGATATTGCCATCCTGCGAGTCAAACAACAGCATATTGTTTTCTTAATAAGCAATAATCGCAGCAAATAACTCCCTCGCACACGTACTCTGTTACTTTGAAGCCAAAGCTGAACTTATCCCTTCAAAGGCGAGCCCGCCACATCCCCCACACAACCTGCTCTATGCACAATGACATCAACCTCTGAAATACCACAGAAACTACTCATGCCTTGCATACATCGACCCTTATCCTCGGGTCCGCACGATCTCTGTGAAATGCTTGTGTACATGTATGTCTCCGGCGAACCGGTCTTTTCCAATCATGGGCGAATATCAATGCCAAGAAACTCAGTCTCGCATACCGATGCATGTAAGGAGAGGTAAGCATGCAGGAACGCAAGATTCCAGTATTGCATGGTTAGGCTTGTAATACATCGAGTTAGTACATAGTAACGGTGCAATCAAATAATTGATCTTCAAGATTGATATGATTGATACCAACTTTCTGTAAACCTCTCAATCTAGAACTACAAGCGCATAGCATAACATAACAAAATCGGTACCCAATCTTCACCTGGAACACACTCCTCAATACGCAATCCTCTGCAACAGCAGGTAAATCCAAACCAGAAGGATTACTTCGGATGTGCCCATTGTAAGGATCGGAATATACTCCTGAGCTTACCCCGACGGCGTTCCGAAGTTTCCCGATTGCGGTTCCGTGTCCGTGTCCGTGTCCGTGTCCGACACTAAAACGCGCACTTTTTATTATTGGCTAGGATTGACTTGGGGGTGGGAGAGTTATATCTAGTGTAGTTTATTTTATATTAAAATAGAGTATTTATATAGAGCTAAATGAGGGCCGATTTTTGAGTGTGTCGGTGGGGAGGGAGGGGGTTCAGTATAGTAGTGGGGAAGTAGGTGTTTTTTTTTACGGCTTGCGCGTTTGGCTGATGTTTTGAGGTTGGCTTCGCTTGTGGTGGATACTGAACAGGGGCTATTCGGTGGCAAGACGGATATATTGTTATTATTGGACTAGAATAGACTCAATTGAAATACATGCAGATGACCATCCGGGTCGTGTGGGAGTAATCACAATGCGATCGATCCGTGTAAAACTCAATCTCAACAGATTTCTCTGTCCAACAACAACGCCCAGTCCTTATTACAAGTACAAAGATGCCAGGGGCCTCTAGATACAAAGCTTACTCTGGCTTCTTCTTTGCGGGCCCTGCATAGTGAAGAATGCTGAATGCAAAGTTGGGATGGTCGCTTAGTAGCGCGCAAAAGCTGCCACTGCATCTGAGGATCTCGATGTGGTAGGCTGCGAAATGTGCAAGATAGGCGAACAATGGGTCATTTTCCTTGAGCTTGGAAAGTGCGAACCGTGCAGCTGATATTAAAGCCACTGACACATGTATCCGACTATCGCCCATCCCAGACATGATCTTCTTCATCTGTGTGATTGCGAGGCTTGCTAATTCCGGGACACCATGTCTGTCGCAAAACACGTAGAGCTGGATGTTGTCGGAAATCGAATCGGCTATTTTGCATTCGACGGATTCTTCATGATTGGATGCGCATTCGATGTCACTCTTCTCAAGATCCGCCTTTTCGGGGTATTCTCCGGTATATACCCACCCGACGAGAGCAGAGAGTGTGCTGGCCTCTGTATCCATGCAGACATAATCGTCTACTGCTTTTTCTATGTGAGATTTGTAGAGAGCAGAACACTTGGACTTTAGGAGCCCTGTGTGGATTCTGAATTCTGAGTCGGAGCCCTTTGTGCCAAGAACAATGACATCGGTTTGGAGGATGTTCGTAAAAGTGCCAGTGGGTATAGATTCTAAGAGGTTCATGTGTTAGCCATCTTGTTGCAAAACGTACGGATTTTTTTTTTGGATTCAGGCCCGTCGAGGGGGTACGCTATCTGACCAAGCTTGATCTTCTTATCACCACCTTCTTCTGCGGATGTCCCTTAACGTTTTGTGGTGACGGGTGGAGGCCTGCGTTTGCTCATGATGGAACGTGAAATTCGAATGAACCCTAGGGAGTATTTGAGGGATTTGATGCTGAATTAGAGTGCGTAGAAGAAGGGGTAGGGAAGATGGGAGTAGTGGCGAGCAGGATCTGAACTAAGTTTTGTCCTCAACTATGAGAACTATGGACTCATTCACTGTCATCTACTCATGAAGCATTTCCAAAAATTGCTAGTTCGCGGAAAATATGCTTGCTAGTAACACTGCCGTCAAAATAATGCATCTTCGCCTCTCATTCACTTTGGGCTTGCTGAGTCTGCTGGGCTGAGGCTGTGTATACTCCAGCGGTGTCTCCCTGTATAGTAAGTCTCTGGTTTGCCGTTTCTGCAGCATCATGCTATTTGTCTGGCCTCTCTAATTCTGGACTTCACTTGAACCGCAGGCAAAAACATGTTCTGTTGACATAACTGATGAAAATATGTACAACTGACTCAGCAATAATGATGATTGCATAAACTGTTCTATCGCCTCAGGCAGAAATAGATATATTTCAACCTCAGGCCACACACTAGCCGGGCAAGGGCCTTGACCTACTTTTTGCATTTCTTCGTATGTATTTGTGGGATCGCCTTCCACATGGTGGGTGCCTGCCTTGGTCCCACAATGCGAACCGAGGTTCTTGGCAGTTTCATTTGAGCGATTCATAATCTCCTGCGAGTCCATTATGGTACAGACAAGCATCATATCAAAGCTTGGCGTTCAGTAGGTTTAGACTTCGAGTTCGGGACGTACAACCCTACCACTAACACCGATTTTTTTAACCATTCCTTGTGTTGACATGAGTATAAGCTTAATTGTGAATTTTACTCGGCCGAGTCATAGGCAGCAACATACATGGCTCTTGTTTTTCTGCAGCCTGCTTGGGTCGTCGAAATCGGCAGCCGGTGATGTCATGGCATTATTCAGCATGGTGGGGTTGCATCAATCCCCTTTTAAGCTCGTGTCGCAACTTCATGCAGGCTGTTTACTGAGAGCATCCTGTGTTTCCTTCAATTAGTAAAAGTATTCAAAATGGCCAATAATAAGGTTGATGTCACCAGATCCTCGGAGTTGGATGAGGCAACGGGTATGTCAAACTCATCTCCAGGGAACAAAGAATGGTTTAATGACCAAAACACACGATAGGGGGCCGGACTGAAGGAATGGTTCGGAAGGGAGCTATTATCGACAAGTCGGATCAGTTGTGTGCATTAGGTTGGTCGAGCCCCTTTCAGGACCTGGACTGTTTCTGATACGATTTCTGCCAGTCATGTGCGCTGAGCCCCATTCCTGCTCGGCTGTTCACCATCACGGTGAGCAAGATACTATCGTCTATGCCGCAAAGGGCCATGGTTCCATTGTATTCGATGGGGGAAAGCAGCGCAAAGACCTCTCCCCGGGTGACTTTGCTATCATTCCTGCGTAAGTAGTGCGGCCTCTACTTGATCGAGGACATGAACTGACCCGGGATCAACCTGTATGCAGTTACACTGAGCACCAGGAGATGAACCAATCAGACCATGATGTCGAATGGGTTATCACCAGAGCAGGACGAAAGCCTATCACGGTGAACCTGGAAGGTTGGTCTAATGCCTCGAGCTGAGGGTTGGACTTTGCCGTGAATGCAACAAGTGTGCATTGTGTTAGTTACCAAACATTAGCGAATGGTGTCATCTTTGCGTCGTCGGTTCTCTGTAGCAATCCGGACATCTCTATGTAACCCCGTTGATGGGCCACGTCAGCCCTGGGATTGTAAAAAAACTTCTAACGTCTTGTCACACCCTGATTACGCGTAGATCTTGATGGAATGGACGGAATCCGCATGGAAACTTCAGCCGATTACGTACCCTGGATCTCATGGAATTGGACGAAATCCGCCCTTACTGTCGAATGCTTGGAATATATCCCCACTTCAGCAGGGTCGTTCCAACAATAGACACCGTCAATATCTGCCTTCGAGGAAAGCTCCGATGAGTCGGTGCAGGAAATTGAATAGTAAGGGCGAGGGGTTCCAATAGTCAGGTGACAACGCATATCTTCAGGAGTCCATCAATGTGGAATCCATTTCAGAACTTCCTCTGCTGCTAATACTCTCTGGATTCTACTGTTGTGCCCCCGATACTACATTTCTTGGTCTTTCATTAATCTAATTACCTGTTGATGCATCCTCATCATGATATGATTATTTACACAAAACAACAAGGTCTTCAACTAACCAGCATGACCATACCATGTTCCACGACAGTGACAATCCCAGAGAAGTCCAGATCCCCCACAGCTTCATCAAGCCTGCTGGAAAGTGTGGTGTACGGATGCGACCTTATTAAACCACATGCACAGCAGTTAAAAGTTGACGAATGTTCAGAGGTCGACCTAATAGTTAGGACAGTCAGGCTAGCAATTTTGCCCCAAAAAGGTCACTCTTCAACTTCAACTTAGCTTCATCCACCTTTGTTCCCATCACCACACTGAGTTGACAGGGAATGAAATTGTTTCTGTCAGATTTACTGGGTAGCTGCAACTGATGACTAGAGAGCAGCACTGATCTAATCATCAACAAAGTGATATCTAGCCTGCCAGATGCTGTGAAGCATCGTCTAAGGGCCTGGCCTATCAGACGCACAAGTTACAATACACCATATCTGCATAATCGCTCAGACATCAGCCCGTAGACGGCAGTCAACATATTGGCACGATCTTTCCGGGAAGTCAAAATGACCATGCCCTTGGAGACGAGTGTGAGCTTGACAACAACCAAGGCACTCTCTTACCCCTCTATTGGCAAGAGGGAGCAGCAAAGTCAATTTCGCCAAGACCATAAGCGCAACCGTCTTCGCTTACTGCTCAATTTGTGTGTTATTTTTACAACCCCTCAATTCCTATCATACGCCTTGGGCCCATACAGGCCACAGTATGGAGTTAAATGTCGCGTCCGGCATACCCGACTTTACCTATATGTCTGGTTTACACCACCCTTCTGCTCGAGGGGTCGAAGAACGATAACCCTCCCTCGGCCGGCGGAATTTCCGAGTGGTTGGATCCACTTCATTAACAAAACGGTTTGCGGATACTGGTGGTATAGCGCACCCGTGCACGCAACGGCATTGGACCGTTCGCTTTGCCAATGTCCAAGCGAGTGGGCTAAGACGGCTGACAGGTGGGCTACGAACAGACTGGCCCAATTATGGGCTACCTCAATAATGGCATAGAACGCCGTTGTAACAGAGTGATTCGCGTTGAAGATCGCACCCCGTTACAGGGAAATTAGACCTGAGGCGCGGGACACCTCGGTATGTGGGAACTTTGCCCTCTTTTGAGGCTTCCCCCGCTGTTTGAATCCGCAAAGTAGTTGATCTTTTGGCACATCGCAATTATCTTTGCAAAATGGTTTCTGTTCCAACTATTGTCCTGGTTCCTGGGGCGTGGTGCACCCCGATTGTCTATGATGCTCTGCGTGCTACTCTAACCTCGCGTGGTTTACCTTCGACGGCCATTGCCCACCCCTCCATCGGTGCGGAGCCACCCTCGAAGACTCTGGCCGATGATGTTGCCCACTTGCGGTCCGAGCTAGTCTCGATGATCGACAAGGGGAAAGACATCATCTTAGTGCTACATTCATACGGTGGAGTTGTCGGGTCCGGGGCGGTCGAAAGGTTGGGCAAAGCAGAACGCGCGCAACAGGGGAAGTCGGGTGGAGTTGTCATGGTCGTGTACATGAGTGCGTTTGCCATACCAAAGGGGAAGAGTCTCCTGGATATGCTGGGAGGCCAGTTCTTGCCGTTCATGAAGGCAGAGGTGAGTTCAATAACATCGCGAATTTGCGGCTTTCACCTTACATGACTCAGGGTGATTACGTGCACTGCCTTGAAGGACCTGAATACGGTTTCCACGACATCCCACCTGTCGACCAAGAACTATGGACATCCCGGTTGACGCACACTTCTATTGCGGTATTCTCCGGTGTCTCGACCTTTGAGCCTTGGCATGTCATGCCGACCGCCTATATCATCTGCGAAGAAGATCGGGCACTTCCGCCACATGTGCAGAAGCAGATGGCAGAAATGCTGAACACGAAGTGGATCTATCAGTTAAAGAGCTCCCATTCGCCGTATCTGAGCATGCCAGACAAGGTGGCGGATATTCTGGAGGAACTCTCGGGCAAGGCTTTGACTAGTGGTGCGGGAATATCCGCCAATTTGTGAACTGCATAATTCTAGAATAACTCTTTCGCAACATTATAAATGGGACGTAAGACCTGCCTGTCTCAGATTTCAATCACAGAACCACCATCTTAGACATATAGAGGACACAAGTCACATGAGTCATTTGCCTGCACAATGCCTCATCAACCCAATCAGCACTACCACGACTAACTCAGCCTCCGTGGGGCGCCAAGGCAAGGCTGCAGCAATGCTCGGAAAGATATAAATATAGAAAGATCCTCCAAAGTAATATCCAAGACTGTTATCTGTCTGGAACCACATCATCTACAATCATGATGCCACCTACAGCATCCCCTCTTCCTCATATTCATCTCCTCTGCATGGACGAAAAATACATCCGTGCCTTCGAATCTGTCTTATCGACAACCACCACATCTCCCCAATTTCCCAAGATCACCTTCCACAATTGTTCTCTCTCATATATTTCCCCGAACATTCAATTCGATGTGATCGTCTCTCCTGCCAACTCTTACGGCCGGCTAGACGGTGGCTTCGACGACGCCATCTCACGTGCCTTCTCCCCAACGACAGACTACCTCGCCTTGACCCGCCACACGCAGGGGATCCTCTTTCGCGATTATCGGGGCTACCTGCCCCCGGGATCATGTACGCTCATCCCTATCCCGGAGGAGTTTGACCATCGGTCAAAGAATGTTTGGGGAACAAGGTACTTGGCGCTTTGTCCGACCATGAGAGTGCCACAGAATGTGCGCTGGGATCGGGAGATTGTGTATGAGTGTATCTGGAGCTTGTTGTGCGCTATTGACAGACATAACTGGGATATTGAGAGAACAGCAGACGGGGCAACGAGGATTGATAGTCTCTTAATGACCCCGTTTGCGACGGGGTGTGGGCTTGTCTCGCCTGAGAAGTGGGCCAGACAGATGATCCTGGCGCTCAATCATTATGTTGATGCGGTGCAAAATCCGGGGAAGTGGTCCAGTCTGGATCTGGGTCAGGCTATGGTGTATTCGAGTGAGGTGGCGAGGACTTGGGAGTTATAGTTGGATGTTGGATAGTGTATATCTGACACCTGAGAAGGCAATGGGTGATTAAGAAATAGGAAGATGCATTGCGTGCGGAAATATGATATTCGCACTTGATTGAGGGCGTGTAGCTGCAAACAAGAGTTGACAAGAGGAAACTAAATAAGAACATGATGAAACTGACGCATTGTGTGTTTGGAGATGAGGTGCTCACATTTCGTTGATGCTGTATCGCTCGAGACAAGGTTTGGAATGAGGAAGCCGAACAGAGAACTACTTCGAAACGGACGACGACTTGTGTGTGGAGAGGAGGTGTTATAACATTTGTCATTCGTCGGAGACGTATACTCGAAGGTTCTCATCGGCAAGACAAAGAGGCGGACAATGAGATCTGAAATATATGAAGAGTAACTCATCAGTTTGTGTGGACAAGGCATTCGCTCTATAAGTGGAGTATATCAAAAAGTATAAAAACAGGAGATATTACTAAGAGAATGATGAAGATGCACTGGGCCTGTGGGAATCAGATGTCCAGCCTTCGTCAGAGGTGTATAAAGACATATCTGCTCAAATCAGTGGTCGGTACCCTCTATCAGCGCGGCTATTCTGGCGGTCCTGCTTTATGGGAATTGCCATGACACTATAAAGGAGGTAATTTGGCATACTCTGAATACGAGGATGTCTCGCAATGTCTTGGAAGCAACACATCATACAAAATTAGCTGGAATCAACTCAAATCATGAATAATGGCCTACTCTGAGGTCCAAATGGGTCCTTGTTACCGGCAGGTTCCTTTATCAATGCATGATCGACATGACCACCCCGATACAGATTTCGCAGACTCAGAGCTCAACAACACGAGGAGAATTCGACCTATAACAATATCTGAGAGCGAGGATATGCTTCTACACGGAAACAAACCCTAAATGGCCGGTGTCTCTTGGATACTGCCGACTATATCTGTCTCAGAATCCCAGCTACTATCGCCCTGGGTCCCTCAGAACTCAGTCAGGGTTAAGCCACGGATACCTCCATTAACCACCCCACAAATAATAGTTAACCCCAGTCCACTTACTTCATGCAACGACGAAGCTATCCCACCCCCTGTACCATCATCACACTTGGCAGCTCTCAAACTCCCAACCCCAGACGCAACAGCGCAATTCCCCTTTCACATCTATACCTTCATCACGGCGACACCCAGAACAAAGTCCTCATACTCAAGCAATCCCAGTCGTCATTCAGTACCTTGTATACCCCCCTTCACAGCAACCATGACCTTCATCAAAGTATCCCTGTCCGTATATATACCACTATGAATTCAATCCTCCTGGTAACACAAGCATCGAACGTTGCTATCACCAGTCTAGGAGCCACCACCACCACCACCACCGTCGCCAACCATGCCTTGCACGCCTCGCCCCTTCAAAGCCCCCGTGCCCAACGCCAGCCCGGCTCTGGAAGCCGTGGCCGAGAAGCTTCGCGCCAGCGGCAGCAGAAGACTCCTCACGGCAGAAGGCATCAGATCCCTCTCCACCTCGACGAAGAACCTCATCGACAATCTATATACCAATGTCCGCAAGAACTGCTGGGCAGACGCCATCTGCGAAACCCCAGCAAGCCTCCGTTCCGGTCGAATGGACCCCACTGGTAGATGGCACCTTCGTAACCCTCACGTCTCCGCCTTCACCGAGGACCTCTCCCACGCAATTCAACTCGGCGACATCGACGAAGTCGACTACCACCTGTCGTCCCGCAGGATGCCCCTCAACACCTGCGACCGTGAGGGAAACTCCCTCCTCCACCTAGCCCTAACCTCCGGCCACTTGGGCATCGCCGATCTACTCCTCGAGAGTGGAGCCAGCCCCCAGTATAGCTTCGACCCGGAAGTCCCTGAGCTCGACCAACTCTTCCAATGCCCCGACCGCGTTGCCCCCCAGCTCAGCTCCATGCGCGTTGACATCCTCCGTCTGCTGCTCAGATACGGCGCCCAAATACGCCGATTCCCCACTCTCAACGTCCTCTTCGACTCCCCCGGGAACGCCCCAGAGCTCCTTCAGCTCCTTATTAAGAACCATCCGGACGTGCTCCACGAACGCTCCAAATCAGGCCACACCATCCTCCACTCGGCCGCCGCGTTCGGAACCCCCGAGGTATGCGACTTGCTGCTTGCTCGTGCTCCGCACCTTCGCGCCATATACACAGACTGGGACGTGACGCCTCTGCACATGGCGATCCTAGAGAGGAATGAGCTGACAGCCTGCTTCCTCATCTCGGCCGATATGAGCCTGCAGACGCGCCACGGGTACGACCGCACCGAGCTGTTCCTAGCAGCGTGTATGGGCCTGCGTCGCGTCGTCAAATTACTACTATCTACTACGGCGTTCTTCGCGTATCCGCCGCAGAAGTGGGTTTCGGATGCCAAGGCTGCAGTCCGCGTCGCACTGTACATGGGTAATACCGAGATTGTGGATATGATTAGACGGAATCTAGGATTGTATGTTGTTACCCTTCACCCCTCTTGTGCTCTTTATTATGAGAAAAGTAGGTTATACTGATTGATATATTATCCGTGTGTAGATCATGGCGCTCATGCTTATCCCCGTTCCTTACATGTCCCCGGCCTACTCTGACCCCGAGTATTATGAACATCCGGGGGATTGAGACTAGGAGGTCGAGGAGTAGACGCGCTAGGAGCGTGAGGGATCATGCTCATACTCATCGTCCGCAGCGGTCTGGTGAGGTTGGGTGGCAGAATTTGAATGGGGATGGGAATGTCTCTGCTCCTGCTCATCCCTTCGCTACTGTACCCAATCCGGGGACTGGTAATCCTCTGGACGGTGGCGAAAATGAGGCGGATGCTATGAGTCTGGATGCCCAGGTTGATACGTTTCTGAACAGTGTGGGTGGGAGTGGACAGGGTACGCTCGGTGTTATGGATACGGTGGTGGAGAGTATTGAGGAGTTGTGAGTTGGGCGTTGGTGGTGGTGGTGGATGCATTGTTCGTCCGGGTCTGGTATGTGAAGAGGCTGGTTTTAAGTCATTCGTTTGAGATACCTAAAAGTAGTGTTTCCTTTATGTTTGGAATTGGGATATTGCATGGTATTATTAGCTCTATGAGTGGGCGTTGCCCTACTCCAGACAGCATGGTTCATTGTTACATTTCGGTAGATACTATTCAGAACAGGCTCAATCATGACAAAAAAGTTCTATATTCATATTCAATTCAGAGCAGAGTAATACCTCCCTATGTAATTACCTCCCAAGACATATCATATCATATCCATCAAACCTCACACATTTGTACAAACTATATATCCTTCTCCACGACCCCCTTCTCAACAACCACCTGCTGATGAGCCGCCACCGGCTCATCCGCACCCCCAAGTCCCGACCCGGTCAGATAAAAGTCCTGCGGGTCCGTATCCTGGGCCGTCTGCTCCCACGTCAACCCCTGCTTCTTAATCAATTTCTGGTTCTCCGTGGGCCAGAATGTGCAAATGATGTAGTACATCACGAAGGCGGTCGTGAAGGATAGAATCCACCCGAGGTCGCCCATGCGGGTCGCGGTGGTGGAGACGCTGGCGCCGAGGGAGCCGACGAAGCCTATACAAGTATTTATTAATGGCGGGGGTGTTATGGGGGATGAAGGGATAGACGTACCAGGGAATGGCAGCGCAATGGCAATGATGTACGCGATAACGGCTTGGATGTTCCACCCGCCGTAGTATCGGTAGTTTTTGTTGAGTTTCGTGCCGTCATACAGGGATGAGAGGAAAATGTTGCCTTTAGCGAAGCAGAAGTCTATAATCCATTAGTATGTTTTGGTCATTTGGTGTAAAGGGAGGGAAGAGGGACGTACACTCGCACACCATGATGGCCACAACAGCACCCATGAACAAGGCGTATCCGGACAGGAAGTCCTCGAACTTCGTCGCCGATGTGAGAATCTCCCATGGCACGACGGCCCACGCGAGCGTCTGCACGATGTACTGTCCGCGACGCATGTTGATGTATCGCGGGAACAGCATGGAGGAATCCGCACCGAAGGAGATCATGTTGGCCGCGATGTTGGTTCCGAGGATCTGCACCAGCCAGGCAACGGCCACGAGGAACACGGCAAATCGGGTCGTGCCGGACCAGTAGTGGTCCAGGATGAATTCCATCATGTCCCATTGGTTCCTACATAATTAGCCAGGATCGGAAATATTGGGTATTTGGCAGTATGGCGTACCAGATATCGGTGCCGTATTTATTGTTGATAGCGGCTGTCGCCAGAATACCCAGACTCGCCGAGAGCGTCACCGCGATCGGGTTCGAGAGCAACTGGGTCCAGAGCGGGGCGTTGCGGGTTTTAGTCCAGCGGCAGTAGTCGGGTTGGTTGGTGATCAACGTGGCCGTATTACTGGTCTCGTTAGTCTTATGTCGGTGTGCCAAGGTTTCCGAGAGGAATGGCTTACCCCAAGCCACTGTTGATACCCGCAATAATCATCCAGGCAGTTGCCGTCGTGGATCGTGCCTCGGCCGTGTACATCGTCCCCAGCTGACCCTTAGTGTTGGCCATGGCGAAAATGAACAATCCGAACATGGCGGGCAGGGAAATGAAGGTCTTGAAAATGAAGAACTTGCGCAGCTGGTACGGACGGAAATGGCAGAAGGGCAGATGCACCAGCCAGCAGAGGAAGAAAGCCAGCATCTTCTGCGTGGTGATACCTGCACTGGATGGGATGTGGTTGGGGATGTCGGTATAATGGTGACCGAAAATCGCCCGCAGGATGTTGTACATGTATTCGGCGCCAAAGTCCACTGCAAGGGTCAGAATGAGGCGTTCATCATTGCAAGCGATTTGTGACAAGCGACTGTCACATACTCTGAATGGCAAACCACACGATGGCCAGCACCGCTCGTGCACCGACAAAGTAGTAGCTCCCCCACATGCCAAAGACGCTGCGCCCAACGCAGGGAAATCCGAGATGATATACACTGGCGGCGCGCGAGTTGAATGCCATGGCGACGGACGAAATGAGCTGGGAGACGAAGATGACGACAATCGACTGCCACCAGTTTAGACCGATGCCGACCATGGTCTACAGAATCAGTATGTCATCGAAATAAAAACCTAGCACAAAGGGCCAAAAGCATACCGATCCCAAGGTCCAGTTGGTAAAGGAGATGGACCAGTAGAACGAGACATAGTTCCACCAGCGCCAGGCTGCATCATTAGCACTGGCATGAGCAGGCACTGGGTCAAGTTCAAGACTTACTGCACTGCTCCGGAGGAGTGGGAAGCAGATCTGCAGAGAAGGTAAGTTCCAAGTCGCGTGCCGCGCGCAGCAGCTTTCATAGCTACTTAGATAGGGTTTGCCGACCTTCGTTGGACCAGCGCGAGTCCTGGCTGGAATCCAGCTCGAGGGCGGAGACCACCCGACTGCCAAACCTGGCCATGATGTTGAAACTATGGACCAGTAGGAAAGACAGAGGACGCAGTGTATCGACCCCGGCCACCTAAAGATTGAAAAGAGGTCGCATGGTGCACGGCAGCTGCAGGATTTTATTGCGCGGGGGGCGTGGCGCCTGAGCACGCGGCGGGCAAAGATTTGCACCCACACTTTAACTGTGAAGTGATAAGAACAGCAACCAGTGGGGAATGCCTAGAGATAGTGGTGGAGAATTCTTATTTTTAACTATCTTATTGGTTATATGCCTTCCCTCCTTCACGCCGCTGGTGATAAGCTCTGAGATGGCTGGAACCAACCTTTGCTGGAAAGAGTATAGCAAGGGAGGGTAAGGTTGTAACCCTATTTGTCTCGAGGGTTTATCTTAGTCACCCTCGTCCAATCACGGCATCTCCATGCTCCGACGCTATCCCTAAAGAAGGTGTCAGCCCCGTTCACGAGGCTGTTCGGGTCATCGTTGTTGCGAATTTTTCCCTTTCATTCCCTTCTTTGCCCTTCTTTTCCTTTTTAACGAGGATCTCCCGGTCGTGGGTCTACAGTTTAATATTCCAGTGGGGACGGAGCAGTTGGGCTGGTTCCTCGGTGAATGGCCGAAGCAAAACGGCCATACCTGGATGAGAACATGCCATGCTGCAGGCTACTAAAAGTAGTGGCATGATGGGGTCGGTGATAGGCTCGGCTGACGTTGAGATAAATACTATCTGGAGTGACACCTACCGGTTCAAGATACTAGCAGCAGCTAGCAATGAACGGCGTCGAGCATGGAAGCTCTCGAAGCCTTGCTGGAACACCAGGTTATTTTGGAATACTGGCCAATGTGGATGGGTGGATTGGTTGGTTTCTCGTCCACCAATCACCGTGGCTATAAAGGCTGTCGGTCAAATCTGCCGGACCAGACCAAAGTAGTAGCAATGCAATGAATGGCTGGAGCCTAGAGCGGACGACGGAGGATTCATTCCCGATGGCAGGCGGGATAACCGCCGACTATCGCCAGTTTGCACACAGACAGTTATCATATCAGCCGCGATATCAACACAACGGTCAACACTACAACCCAGTATAGTTGTTACTGTCAATCAGATGCTGTTGGGTTCAGAATACTGCTGCTCATTGCATCTCTTTCGGTGTCATGCTCCTTATCTAGTAATAACTGCCGACTGTAAATGCAGACAGTGACTGACTGGCAGAGCCAACAGTGGCGACGCTAATCTGCTGCAACGTTACAGCATCAGCAGTGAAGTTACTCGCTTAGGAGGGCGCTCAGGCACTTTTACGCGCTGTGACTGAGGCGTGACCTCATGCCAAGCACAGTCAAACTCTGTTTCCCCATAGACTGTCAGTCAATACATGTGGACCATCAGTCTGTTGCATTGTTTTGTCCAAGGAATCATTGTATCGAAAAAGGTTTGATCGGAGAATATTTAAGATCAAGAAATCAAAGAGTGCATTGAATGAATGAATGTCTGGATTAAAGAATTTTCCGGTGCCCGCCACTAGTCCATCTTCGGGTTCGCTCAGGGCACGCCGCCAGGAACCCTTCCGGGCCCCCCCTTCCAGGAACTAAGGTATCCGGTCGGGAATGCCTTCAACCCTCCCAGAGATGAACTCAGCTGATCAAGGAGTTTCTGGCCCTGTTGCACCAGTCTCAGAATGTATACAGATGGAGTCATCCATCATCCTGCTGCCTAATGTCTCCTGGACCACCTGAATTGATACGTCCATCACCTCGGATGGCCGATAATTATGTAGTACACATTTCTTTGTGTGTCTCCATAGTCAAATACCGATCAACAGGCTCCCCGAAACGAGGCGGCACTAGCCATGGGGGTGGTGATAGATCCTGTTCCATCGCCGGGTCTAGATGGCGGCAACCCGGTGTGTACCTGGTGGTCACTCCCGGTACCTCTACTTCCGACCCCATGATCCTGTCTCTGCATTGCTTTCTTGACTAGATAATCCCCAGATTTACACCTCACAAGATCATCCGCATATCCTCGGAGATATCACCTCAAGCAGATCAATTTTGAACCTGCGTCTTTACGTAGGTGAGCAGCGCGTAAACTCCGATGAATCCCTCATGACAGGACACACAGTACCTGCAAGAACCAGCGTTAGCCACCAGCTGACAGTGGCGGTCCCTCTCTGCTCCTGGACCTACTACTCATTTCATATAAGCTCAAGGACCCCAAATGTAGGCATAGTTCATGACGCAACGACGGGTCCGCCAACCACAGGAAGCGATTCACGCTCGCGTATGGCCCAAATGTTGGGTCTGTTTGGAATCCTGCAGCGAGGTGTGGAAATTGGACGGGGCCATCCGCGACGCGGTGGGGAACATTCCCAGCGGTATGCCCAGTGATGATAGAACCAGGAGGGACAAGAAGGACTGTTCATTTCCAACGTATTTATTCACCGTTGACCTGTCTATCACATCAAAGTATACGGGATAGTTAGTAGCACAATGTAACTAGAAACATGATATATCACTAGCAAACGGCCATTCTGAAACCATCTGCTACCCGCAACCCCGAGCGTTCTTTTTAGTCCGAGCGGATCGTGTAATTTCCAGCGACGCCCCCGTCATTCCCCAGATCGCCCAATCACCACCACGAATGCCACTTAATGGCCAAACTGCCTATACCCTGCAATCTCCACCCGATCCAGCATCTCACCGGTTCGTGCTCGAATCGGATCGCCGCCTGGTGTTTCACCTAAACTGTCCGATGGGGGGCGCCATCATTTCCAGCGCCAAAAACCTGTCATCTCATCTTTCATTCATTGTCCCTCATTCATTCCTTTCGGGGGCCAGTATATAACCCTTCAGGGCCCCATTCAGCTGGTCTTGGATGGTTTGGTGTTGACTCCCAGCTTCTGGAAAGCCTGTCGCCTCGTCTTTCGTTTCCCAACTTTTTGTCATTCCTTTATCGAATCTCAAGACTTTACCGCCATGCTCGGATCTACTTCTCGCCTCATCCTGGGGATGCTCAGCTGTGTGGCCCTCCTGCCCAGTCAGGCTTTGGCGGCACACCAGCACGTTGGTCACCGTCACCATCATCCTATCAACCCCACCCAGCAATCCCAGCCCAGCACCCTCATCACTATCGCTCAGGGCAGCGCTCCCACTGAAGCCCCTTCCGCATGCTACTGGGCCCCATCTGCAGTATCCTCAGTAATTGCCTCTGCCTCCGCCTCTGCCGCCGCGGTAGTCGAGAGCAACATCACCGCAAAGGTCATCATCCCATTCTACGTCTATCCCGAAGCTGGCGCCTGGACCCCCATGGAAGAGCTGTACGTTGTAATATAATGACTATAACATCCCCACTTACTAATCTCACCAGCGTCGCGGCTTTCCCCAACGTCCACTTCACCATCATCATCAACCCCGACAGCGGTCCCGGCTCCAGCAGTCTCCCTGACAGCAACTTCCTGACCGCCGTTCCCAGACTCACGAGCTACAGCAATGTTCTCGCCATCGGCTACGTCCCGACAGAGAAGGGCACCCGCGCCATTTCAGATGTCGAAAGCGACATCAAGACCTACGCCGGCTGGCCCTCCGCCTCCGGTAATTCCTCCTTCGCCGTGCACGGCATCTTCCTCGACGAAGCCCCCAACGCCTACAGCGAAGGGCTGGTCTCTTACTACCAGCAACTCGCCAATCTCATCAAGGAGAGTTCCGGACTGGGACCGGAAAACTTCGTATGCACCCCGCCCCCCGCCCCCCATCTAACCCATTCGTACACCACCTTGCATTTGCAGTAACTAATGAATGATGTGTATAGGTCGTGACCAACCCCGGCACAGTCCCTGACTCGGCCTACCTCACCATTCCCGACTCCACTGTGGTCTTCGAGTCGCCCTACGACTCGTTCCTGAGCGCCGTGTCAGAAGACTCCTTCTCTGCCATCAGGGGCGGCAATCACAGTGCCCTGGCTACGATGGTCTACTCGGTCCCGGATACCGTGCATCTGCCGACCCTCATTAGCCAAGTTGGAAATATCTCCGACCAGATCTTCCTGGGGAATACGAGTTCGTATACCGTGTATAACTCGTACATGAACCAGGTGATTCCGTTGTTGTTGCCTGCTTCTTCGTGATGTGGATAGTGGAGTGGCTGGCTGGCTCGCTGTCGCAGGGCGATGGGTTAGATAGATGATGGTGTGTTTCAATTCTTGTCTCTCGTTTTTTTCACCGTTTATGTATATAGATGTGTATGTTGTGGAACAATGTGCAAAATTTTTCTTCCCAAGGGTGTTTATTATATGTTGGTAGACTACAGATTAGGCTGTGGTTGAAGATACAGTCAGTGTAGGTAGGCCGCGGCGCCACCCGTGGAAATTCTTCAGCTGGGCCGAAACAGTTTCATCCCTACAGTAGGATAGGGATGAAACATGACAACAACCAGCAAAGGAAAGGTATTTGATACATATTAGTTTGTTTCATTTCCATAAATTCATGTACATATAATATATACATAGTATAGTAATCCATCGCCTAACTCCCACCGTGTACTTAGTATCTAATCTGTATTCAAGAGTCAGCCCTCATTCTAACCCAGATATGTTATGAAAGACACAACATACAGAAATGAAGGCAATAATAAATTAGATAATATCACCAACAGCGGCATCTACATCCGCACCAACACTGGCAGCTGCATCTGCAGCGCCCGAGACCACCGCGCCGACATCAATGTCAATTGGGTTGGCGGTGGCGAAGACGGCCAGGAGGGAGAGGGCGGAGAGGAGGATGAACTTCATTTTGGTGTCTGTTAAAAGCAGTCAGCATGTTTGCCAAGTATAATGTATTGGTGAGGTACATACGGTGGTGGTAGGTAGAGTGGTATAGGGTGGTTTGGATAAGTCTTGTAGGTATGAGAGGTAGAGAGGTAGTAGATGAGAATGATGGTAGATAAATCTAAAGACCATGAAGGTCAATTTATATCTTTCTTTACCATCACATAATCTGATATTCTCTACAATACTCAACAGTGAGAAGAAAGTCTAGAACCATGTCATTGATGGATGCTCTACATACATGGTTATGATCCAGTCGATCGGAGAACTACCATTTTTGGGGGGTTGCGGGGACCCATTTTTGGGGTTTCTCGGGTGGCCGGGAGGCCGACCGTTGAGATAGCCGTTGATCGATCTGGCGGTTGCTTCAGATATATTGAAACAGGGTGTTTTACTACTTACTAGTGATAGTCTACTATTCTATCTAGTATTCTGATTATATTATAGATGCGATGTTATTTGAGATGGTGCTAAGGCCAAAGTAATCAGGCCAGATTGGGTGGGGAAAAAAATGACGCAGAATAGCTCGCCCATCTGCTCAACAGCGATTGTCCGTGTACTGTAGGTCCAACATCTTAGATACTGAAGGCTGTAGTATTACGTTGTGCACCTAGACCTGATTCGAATATGGATGGCACATCGGCTGTCTTTTCCACCTAAATTCAAGATAGCCACCGGCTATGCCACGACTACATCTGCGTCCCTATATCTCAACCACGGTTCCGTCCGGATCAGGGGAACTTGACTACGTTCTAGGCGTTTACGTGATCAACTACATTTTCGACCTGCCATTAAACCAAGGTACTGGCTAATCGTATTTTTATGACAGATGCTATGGTTGGTTGAGAGGTACTCTTGTCTATATGCATTCTGTCAATGGTTGGTTCAGGACACGTACGAGGCTGGACGGACCAGACTTCATCTCAATTTTGATAGCAGATTACCGATCGGAGATATCATAATTCAATACAACTCGCTCATATCAAGGCATGTCGCTCAAACAACGTTCTCAGTCTGCAGATCCGCTGATCATATCCTGGCTAGCTTGCGGAGCACACTTCCGACCGGCTTGGCTGGCGTTAATGTTCATGAAGAATAATGCGGTTATGGCTAACGGTAGATCCCATCTTCCTGGACATAGGTCTACTGGCTTACATCGGGGATACTGGCTTCATGTTCCAACACAGCCGGGTGCTTCACACCTCCAACTCGCAACTTTGCCCAATCTCTCTCCACGCCCTCCTCGATGTCCGGGTACGGGCCTAGCGGTGTGATCGCCCTAGGGTTGATATGCCAGTGGCTCTTCGTATACTATTGCAGTCAGCACATATTCTCTTGGCGTATTTAGGTGACTCACATTTTCCTTGATATGCTTGAAATCCGTAGTCTCCCTCGCAGCCTTCACATCCCAATACATCCCCTTGAGCCAGTTATGCAGCACCGGATAATCATGACGGATGGTCCCCAGATTACACTTAAAGTGTTCCACATACACCACGTCGAATCGAATTAACGTCGCATACAGCATCACATCCAATTCCGTCATCTCCTTCCCTAGCACAAACGGACCTCCATTCTGCGCGATAATGCGCTCGAGCTTGTTCAGTGCCCCGAATACCCGAACCACATTGGCGTCGTATTCCTCCTGCGTGTCTGTGAATCCAGCCTTGTACACACCCGAGTTCACGTCCGATTGCATCCACGGGCTGATAGCGTCGATTTTCGCTTGCAGATGGCTAGGGTAGAGGTCGATTTCCGCCAGCGATGACGGGATCTGGGAGTTGAATGCTTTGGGGAGCCAGCGGAGCATTTGTAGACTTTCCTAGATTCAGCACATCCATCAGTCAATGTAATGAATCACCATCTTAACACAAAGATAGGTAGCATACATTACAAACCGCCGTCCCCGTCTTCGTATCCCATAACAGCGGCACCGAATATCGTCCTTTATATTCGGGATCCGCCCGAAAATATACCTTATGCAGGTAATCCTCTCCGTATAGATGATCCACCGTTGATCCGGGGTACTCGTCGTCCGATTCGGGGAACTTCCATCCCGGCCAGCCCTTGAGATCTCCCTTTGGGTACGCTCGCACAACGCTGGTTTTGATAATGTCTGTAAGTCCCTTGAGGTGTCGGACAAAGTTGACGCGGTGAGCAAATGGGCAGAAGTAACCGATGTACAGGTGGTAGCGGTCGGGTTCGGCAGGGAAGTCGGTGCTCGGGATGATGCCGTGCCAGCTGTCGGCGGTTCCCGCTTGGTGGATGGTCATTGTGGTGGTGATCTTTATATTGTGAGGTATTGACGGTAGTTTAGGGATTCAAAGGGAGAAGAAGGGTGAAGAGGAGAGTATTAGGAATGCTGCAGGGACAGTTGGCAATGCCATCATCTGAGGGCTCAACTATGCGGGGTCCGGAGCAATTCCGCACTGGCGTCATGCTGGATTCGTCATCATTCTGGAAGTAACTAAGTAATTAGTTATGCAACTATGCAACCATGTGTTGATGTATCTAATGCTGTGCCAAGGCTGGCCACGTGGTGAGGATATTTTATCCTAGTTATTTACTTGCAACTATATCGACTATCCCCTGAGTACTAACCTTTAAAGACCTGGTTCATGCTTGGCTCGGATTGTGTCGTCATCTGGGCTGATAGTACTATGCTTGGCAAGATCTGCAACATCTGGGTCCCGATATTACTTATTATCATTTGACTCAGATGAACAATACCCTAAACCACGCTCAACAGTTTGTTTGTATATTACTTTTTCAGAATTTGTTTTCCAATCCTTGACAAGCACCAGTAAGGGGCCCGAAAGCCAACAGGTAAATATATTTATGTAAGATCTCCTGACAGCAACTCTTGACTACGACCAACTAATATATAGTGCAGACATATATCAGGAATAATATGCTTTGTTAGCGTTTAAATACCAACAGCACAGGTGCTACACTCCCCAGCTACTTTGCTGCTGACCGCTTGAATCTCAACACCCGGCTTACCCGGACACAAGCAGTGGGGCGCTATCAAGCTCCATTAATCTCACAGCTTAGACTATCTCCGAGGGCAGTGCAAGCTTCACGCACCAACTTTCTCCAACAAGGATCGATCGATCGCCGTAAAGCATGCCCGATATGGCCCCGCTAAGCTGCTGTCAGACTAGGCCACCCGCTAAGCCACTCGACTGCGACCGCAACGCGGCATATGATGAACATTTTCGCAGGATTGTGCTGAAGAGAATGATCCAATTCCCACTCAGTCCAAGTTGGGGGCGAAACCTAGTTCCCCCTTAATCAACAAAACAGAGGAAATAAAACCAGGTAGATAACCGACCCGGTTGACAATTCCTCACACACAATCTCGACCAGTTCACTGAACCTTTATCATCATGAACCGGTACCTGTCTATCCCCCTGTGCTTGGCAAGCGCTGTTCCTGCGCTAGCGGGTCTGGCGGCCCGCGACCCCATTGGCACCATCTGCACCAAGAACAACATCATCACCACCGACGACTTCATCCTCTACAACAATCTCTGGGGTGAGGACTATGCGACCTCTGGCTCGGAGTGTACCTACCTCGACTATGACAGCGGTAACTCCATCTCGTGGCAGACATCATGGACCTGGGCCGGCGGCGACGACTACGTCAAGAGCTATCCCAATGCCGTCCTGAACGTCGGTGCTAAGCAGCTGAGCACGATCACGACGATTCCCTCTACCTGGAAGTGGAGGTGAGTTAATCTCCCTTATCACCAATCAAGCTACTGTCTAATGATGATATCAGCTACACCGGCGATGACCTCGTCGCTGACGTCTCCTACGATGCCTTCCTGGCCACCACGGACTCCACAACGGCCACCCACGAGTACGAGATCATGATCTGGCTCGCCGCCTACGGAGGCATCGAGCCCATCGGCAACTCGGACGGTCCTATCGCCAGTCCCACTATTGGTGGCTACACCTGGGATCTCTACGAAGGACCCAACGACTGGACCGTGTATAGTTTCGTGGCCCGCGAGACTATCACGGACTTCTCGGCGGATCTTATGGAGTTCTTCACTTATCTGGTTGATAATGAGGGCGTCTCGTCGAGCTTGTATCTGCAGACCCTGGGTGCGGGTACGGAGCCGAAGACGGGCTCTGATGCTTGGTTTACCGTTGCGCCGTACACTATTAGCATCAACACTTAGTGGTTGAGGTATTTTGAGAGTTACGGGAGAGTTGTTAGGAGGGAGAGAAATGGCGAAGGCACTAGAGATATTATTGACCAAGTTGATGATGTTTGATCACCAGTTAGGCACTAATATCGTCGATAATGAATATTGAAAATTGTTAATGGAGCAACAGTAGTCAGAAGTTATACTGCTTGTAATGGTAGAAGTCAGGATGGAGTCTGTCGCTGCGGATTCCCTGTGGTATGAAGGGACTGCTATCCTATTGCACTGGCAGCTGTAGATTTGCCGCGTAAGAGACCAAAAGAAAATTAAATGAAAAGTTGGAAAGGGCGTGCATCATATCATAAGCGGGTGATCGAGAGAAAAAAAGTCAAAAAGAATCTTGAGCTCCGATAGGGGGAATCGAACCCCCGGCTGCCGTGTGAGAGACGGCGATGTTAGCCACTACACCATATCGGATTACTTGTTGTTTTCGGTACTTATAAGTTTCTATAAGGCTAAGGTAAATTGTTGTCACGTGCCTCCCGATCGCATTGCTTCCTCACCTTCCCTCCGTAGTAGTTTCCTCTTTTCACCCACCCCATCATCATCATATTTAAAGTGGGTTCCTTACATATTTGCTTCACAGGTTCCTATAGTATATGTTTGGTATGAGGACTACGATGGCAACTGTTCAAATCCACCGCTGTGCAGTAGCAGTCCTTCTCCTAGTGAAGCTACAAACATATATATAGTACGTCGGGAATTTGAGATCTAAATTGCCCAGCACAAACTCCATTGAACAAATCGGGTTCTATATCCACAATTGGTATAGTTAGCTCAAGTTCAGACTTACGAGGGAAAGTATTCAACGGGTATGGTCATTTTGTGGCGACACCATTTTGCCTGCGAGTTACAGAGAGTTATTCAGCATCGCACAAAATGGACCGTTTCTGCAGGCTGGAGCAGCAACATATGATCGGAAACTAGAAGATTTCCGAAGGTACCTTAATCGAACCATGGCTGGTATTTACATACCACCTGCCAAGCCCGTCGAATGACTGGCAGGGCTCAAGACTGCGTGTGTAGCCTATTTGCGACCTTCGCAGCTATACCACCTGCAGAGCATATGAGATGTCAGCCAAAATTGGATTACAAAGGGGCTGGAAATAGAGGCCACCAACCTGAAGTTTAACACTCAGCAACCTTCCCCACCTAGACAGCTCTGTTACACAAATGTCAGCCCAACCCTCAGCAACGAGCGGCCCATGCCTCTAACCCGGACGGGTTCGGATTTGTCGGACATTGACACTGGGATAAGACCAATGAGATATGCTCTTCTTTTCCGTTGAGGGAATTAGAGCGCACACCGAACTAGTGAACCGGGAAGATACCAGATTCATGTCAACAGATGGGTCACTTTCAATGAACGCATCGGTTCTCAAGCATTCGACACTGGCCAGCAACCAAAAGCCCTGGGATTGAATGTTGAATGCAAGTAAACCGTGCACTGCAAGTTTGACGACCAGAGGATGTACGAATCAGTAATCAGGACTCTCACAAGTCGATTTGATTGCAAAAGAAAATTGCGTGTTCATCGACCTGACACTGTCAGTCACACCCGACAAGTCATTGCTATGTTGAACCGTTCGAGTAAAAGCATTCGGTATACTATACCGGCATCCCGACCGCCATTCTGACACGGAGATAGGTTAGATGGTGTCGTATAGCATTGAGACAGCAAGCGCATCCATCCTTGACATCGGGATGGCTGGCTGAGCTGCCCGTATGCCGCTGACTCAGCGGTAATCAAGAGTTGACAGACAATGCTGCATCTCCATTCAGCCCATCCATGGCGTGCTGCGAAGAGGAGTCTCGGATAAGGGCGTGGTAAAGTTGTAGCTGCTGCCTGCCGAGGCATGCTGCAGTAGCAGGGGCCATCTGCTGACGGAAATGGCAACACCCCTCATATATTAATGCTATTTGAGCACAGGCATTCGCCTGTTTCCTGGCCTTCCAAATAGGATTACAGGCCTGAGGATCTAGCTATTACGAGAAGCAACGACCCACTCATGCACTTGGAATCACCGCAGTCTGATTTCAAATCCGTGTCGTCGTTGGCCTACGTCACCTTATCACTACCCCTCCCTTTGGCTCAGTCACTCCTGAGAACTCGGCGCCTGTTATTTGAGTGGACCCTACAACCCCAAAAGGAGGATGTGCAGCCATAGGAATGCGGTAATAAATGGGAACTGTATATTGGGCTACCAATCGAACCCCGGGCGAAAGCCAAGGAGAAGCTACCGCTTCTGCCACGGAATGAGACAGAGGGCGTGTCAAGTGTAACCTCCCTTGTCAGAGTAATCGAATATCCTGGCCAATCTGTTGATGGCAAGATTCGGTACGATGGAGTATAATAGTGTTGCCTCATTGACCTTTGTCATGTACATTCCACAAGCCAGAATTTCTTCGCTCTTTTGGTGCACACATTGTTGGTGGCTCGGAAGGTGGTAGAATTTCAGGGACAGGGACATCGAAGTTTGAGGGAAAGCGCAACCTAGCTGAAACACTCATGAAGCACAAGAAAGTATGACACTCACCTTACTGACATCGTCCTACTATGCACTAACGGCGCTATCCCAGAACCATGGTGAAGATGCCATGCCGGACTTGGCGTGTACCAGATGCCGAGAGCGCAAGATACGCTGCGGCCGGGAACGGCCTCATTGTCGTAACTGCGAGAGAGAGGGAGGTGTTATTTGCCTGTATCGGATTCCTGCCAAACGCGTAAATCACCTCAAGTTATTGTCAGTGAACTTCTTTGGCTAGCAAGGACATCGATTGCTAATCATGCTATAGGTGCGGTAGCATTGAACGACTGCAGGATCGATTGACGAGAATCGAGTCTCACCTTAGTCAACTTCTAGGTCCTGGCCCCCGGACTCCGGGTTTGGAAGGGGACCACGAATCATCACAGCCAAGAACCTTGCTAGAGGGTGTATCTGCAACATGTAGCTGCGGCGATACTGACGATGAAGAGGAGCACAAGGAGGAGGTTTCCGGAATATTTGCCCCTAAACAGTCAGAGTATTACTTCGGACGCTCATGCGTTGCTGCTCTGTGTGAAAACCTCAAGGTAAGGGCTCAGTCGGTACCCCACGCAACAGGGCCTATATGGCGACCGCTCTGCGAAATGTTGCAGCATTTATGCGAGGTCACAAAAGTATCCGAACCTATCCCGTCGTACAGTGACCGGCTAGTCGTTCCACTGCTGCCTAGGCAGCAAGCTACCGCCGCCATAGATCGGTTCCTCCAGGACCTAGACTGCCAGACCGATGTCTTCGTACCGGACAATCTAAGGGCCAACCTCCAGCGCCTGCACTCGCAGCATCAGCCGCAGCCCGATGATGCCGCGTGGGGCATATGCTTCCAGACCATTACCCTGCTGGCCCGGGTCACATCCCAAGCTACGCAGGGATTGGCTGAGAACTTTGTGCATTCCTTTGTACCCAGCCGGGCGGTAGTGGTTTGCCCCGGTCTGCTAAATACGCCCAGACTCATAAACGTGCAGGCTTTGCTTCTCCTCGTATGGTAATAGACTCAGGATCTTCTGGTGTGCAGAACTGACATTGAATATGTAGAGTGTCGCGGCACAAGCTTTAAACTATTTTGGATCGGCAGAGTTGATATTCGCCCATGCGTGCACACTGGCGCGAATCTTAGGTTTGACTTGCAGCCAAGCTCCAGATCACGGCGACATTGTACAGGTCGAACGAGCCAAGGTGCTTCGAGCATTGTACATCCGTGATAGAAGTTTGTATACGCTTCGTGGATCAGTGCTTTGGATGCCTTGTGATGAAAATAACATCGCTACTCGGTTGCGTGCAACTAGTAATGAGTTAGGGAAGCACTCAACCCGGCTCCATCTAGCCATGGTGCAGGAAAACATATACCGACTGGCTCAAGCTGGCTCGATCTCCACAAACGCACAGGACAGCCAAGGACTGCTGATGCGCATTGAAAAGCAGCTTGATGAGTATGGTCGAACATTGTATTTATTTCACGGCCAAAACGTTCCGTCAGAATGCTGTGGATCCAATACTATAGATACGATGGAGTTCTTGGCAACGCGAATCATGGCGTTTCAACATGGACAGGAACCATATCACACGCGACAAATTGAGCAAGATGCGCGGTTGAGCTGCTTGCTTTTGCTGATTGCACACGGGGACCAGGATCCGGCTGTACTATACTGCTTCAATGCTTTGTTAACAGGACAAAGGACCACTCCAACAAGTAATCATCAAATTCATTGCATCTCTAATGTGTCATTGAAGAGTGTTTTCGACGCTTTCTCCGTTCCCGCATTTTTCGTTCTATTACAGAATATCCTCATGTCGCGTCCGTGTGAAAAGCCAGCTGGCATGATATCCGACTTGGATTTGCTGCGGATGGTATCGGCTTGCCTTACCGATCATGCTAGTCAGACACCGGCAAATAGCTACCAGCAAAAGATAGCATGGGTATTTTCACAATTGATGTCCTTGGTTCGCGTTGTTGTGGACGCGCGTTTGGGCCGTCATTTTATTGACTCACCTCGGGCCCCTACCCAGAATGACCTCCCCAGTCCTCCATACTGGCCAGCGGCTCATCAAGCAACCGCCCCTCCAAATTGGGAGAGTTGGCTTAGCGGTGCATCATCGCTGGCACTGTCTCCTATTGGTCCTGCGACACCGCTCGGAACATGGAACGCTAACACGCAGGCCTTTGATGGTGGAAGGCTGATACCGTGGCCGACAGCCAGCGGATTGTCGCCTGTGGCACCGACAAATTCACATCATGAGCGCGTAGGTAGTGCTGACGATAGGGGTGCACTGTAAGGCGATGACTGGAGATCGTGTTTGCCGCTTGTCCTCTGAGCGTCGGTGCTTCCAGGGACGTTTCTCGAAAAGATGGGAGATGACGATTTGCAGTGACAGCTCAGCATAACTGGCGTGGCCAGGAATCGTCTAGGCATTAATAGATTCGGGTAGACTGCAATCATATCTCTGATTCTCTTATGGAGAGTAACTGACTTAAATGATAAATTGGGTGTCAATACGTAGTATAGTAGGATGTCTTGCAAAAGCCGACTAGGTGGTAATCGGTAATTCGTGTGCGACAACCTGAAACCTCTCGTCAGAACCGAACGCTGACCAGATGAGTTTACACTTGACCTCATTACACGATACCACTACTTAGTATCTTCACTTTGTCCCTCTCAACCATTCATCTTCCATCATAGGGAACCTTGTGATGTCTGTTACACTGTGTCTCCGGGGTCCGGGGTACACCTCGGTTCCCGAAATCCGGCGAACCCTGGCTGTGTTTTCCATAGGTTATGAGGAGGTAATGCATCGCTGGCAAAGCCGCTCATTGCCCCATCGTCGAGGATGTTTATAAAGAGGGATAGACCTCTACTAGTAGAATGGCATATAAGACTGTGAAAGCCTTAAAACCTTACCGAACATCATGGCGTATAGGTTATTTCTGACCTTCCATTTCTCCTCGTATTAGCATAATTCTGAGAATTAGGGGACTCTTCTGCCCTTAATACACAGCGATAAGTTTCAACTCACTTGGCTGTGTCTTCATTCCAAATACGAGCGGAATACGCACACAATATAAATCTCTATCTACAGAAATTTATTACCATCATGTCTCAACCTCACCTCTTCTCCGGCCACTGGCAACCCAATCCTCACCTCCAGCACCTCTACTACGGTCCCGACTGCGTCTCCCAACACCTCCTCGATACCCTCCCAAAATCTACATCCAAAGCCATCATCATCACTGGAGCGACCCTGACAACCCGAACTCCACTCGTTCAGCGCCTCCAAACCCTCTTATCTATCCATCACGCAGCCACCATCTCCTCCATAGCACAACACACCCCATCCAGCGCCATCGATGACGCCATCAAAACCATACTAACCCTCCACGCTGAAGACCCCACAATCGACACCCTCATCTCCCTAGGCGGCGGGTCTCCCGTCGACGCCGCTAAAATCCTTGCCCTCAGATTCCACCAAGCCACCAATAGAACCCTAACCCACCTCGCGATCCCCACGACCCTCAGTGCCGCTGAGACCACCCCCGCTGGAAGCACCACGCAGCCCGATGGAACTAAAACCGGCGTTCGAGATGCCAAGATGGCAGTACACACTATTTTCTACGACCCGGTGTATACAAAATACACCCCGATGAATCTCTGGCTCAGCACGGGAATCAGAGCCCTAGATCATGCTGTCGAGGCGATGTTCCATCCCACCGCCAGTGAAGTGCCCTGGAAGATCCTTGCTATATACGCAGTGAGGGAATTATTCGAGTGCTTGCCCAAGGCGAAGAAAGATGGTGATATGAGCGACGACGCAACAACTGTCAGACTAATGCTAGCTGCATTTGCTAGCTCGGGTCTTAAAGGTGAGGATCTGGGTGCTGGGATGGGATTATCGCATTCGCTGGGATATGCGCTGGGGAGTCCGTATGGGATTCCGCATGGAATTACGAGTTGTGTTACGCTTGGGAAAGTGGTCGGGTTTATGGTGGGTGAGGGGAAGGGGACGGACATTGCAAGGTTGGTCGAGGCGGTAGGGGGCGTTAGGACGGGTGATGACGAGGTCGATGCAAGGGTTGTCGGGGAGAGGATTGTGGCGTTCGTCGAGAGTTTGGAGTTAGGGGTAAGGTCCTTGGAGGATTTGGGTGTGGGTAGGGATGAGGTTCCGGTCATTGTGAGGAGGGCGTTGAGGGGAGTTGATAAGGGGGAATTTTATGACAGGGTTGGGGGGTTGGTTAGGTCTTTCTTTTGAGGTAGGGATTCAAGGGGGAGTTGAGTTGTTCGTATTTCCACTTAGAGGGTTAGGGGAGATGGTGTTATTTGGCGAAATTATTTGGACAATTGTGTTTTGCTTTTATCGTAATATTGCTATTGTGTTTATGGCAGCTAACTATGGGTTAGCTGTGTGCTGACACATGTAATCTGCTCGGATTCCGGACGCCGCATCGGAATGTACTCGCTCGTATATACAGTAGGATCAGTTATAACGACGGCCACACCTCCTTGGCATAGACCAGGATAAACTGCTTTCACAAAGCTAATTTAACAGCCGGAAAAATGACTTCAACTATTCGTGAACTAGCTACACAAATCCTTGCCCTCTGCACCCAGCTTGAACAAACCTGCAATGAAGCTGATATTCCCCCTCCGTCACTCTCCGCAGACACCAGAAGTTCATTCTGGTCTAATACTGAGATAGCAGCTACACGAACTACAGCTATTGGTTTGCTAGAGGAACTAACTGTGCTTATCCAAGGGCCACAGGAGTTTTTACATGAGTTCGTCGCCTCGCACTGGGACCATGGGGCGCTATATGCGTTCCTCCACTCGCAGACCCTCGAGCATATAGCGAGTTCGGGGCGCGCTTCTATTGAAGATCTCGAATCTCAATCTGGTATCCCAGCAGACAAGCTTGTTCGTATCCTTGGGCTACTTCGGTGTCGGCACATCGTTGATGAGCCCGAAAAAGGTGTCTATACGTTGACTGCGGTATCGGAAGAACTGGTCAGAGATAGCGATTCAAGGGCGTGTTTGGAGTTCCAGTACGTATTACCTGCGAGCTAGGGGGCGTTAGTGCTTATGAAATAGATTATTCGAGACGCGTATTGCGAGTGCGCACTTGGCGGATGCTTTAACCCGCAAGCCAAATGGGTATACCGATGGGGTGTCGGCGTTTAAGGAGGGGTGGGTAAGACCCTATCGGACTGTGTGATCGGTTTGTGCTGATATGATAGATTCGGCATGGAAATGTACGACTGGCACGCTTGCCATCCTGACAAGGGAGAACGATTCCGTCGTGCTATGAGGGGTGTTTCGCGTGGTTAGTACCTTAGTCTGTCCCTGTATAATGATATATTGAACAAATGGATATGCTAGCCCTCGACCCCGCGGCCGCCCTAATTGAGAGCTATATCCAGCAGCACACTCCCACCACCAGAACCAAGATCGTCGAGATCGGAGGCCGCTACGGCTTCGCCTCTGTTTCCCTCGTACATAACCACCCAGAACTCTCATTCGAAGTCCGCTCCGACTCTCAAGACTTCCTCGACCGCGGCGGCGCCCAAGTTCCATCTTCTTATCGGGAACGAATATCCTTCACGCATTGCCAGTCGGTATTCGATTCACCCCCTGCATGCGATACACATACGGTATGGCTATATGTGATAAGGAATCTATTGTGGAACTGGTCCGATGCGGATGTCGTCAGACTTCTTAGAGCTATTAAACAAGGCGCGGGCACGTCTATCCGCATCCTGGTAACCGATGGGGTGTCACCCATGTCTGGGCAGTTTCCGCTACACGAGGAGATTGCGTATCGACGGAGGGATATTACGACTATGAGTATGCATAACGTGAAGCAGAGGACTCAGGAGGAATGGGTGGGGGTGTTCAAGCAGGCTGCCCCGGGTGTACGGGTAAAGACTACGTTTGGGAGAAGTTCGCATGTCTATAAGGGGCTGTGGGAAATTAGCTTTGTCGATGAATGATGATGATAATAACGATGATGGTGGAATTAGAATACATGATAGGGGAAATCTACATTAGGTGAAAGATTGGCGACAGGATCGTGTAGATCACAAAAACGCACACGTGATTCGAAGATACTGTGAATGTGCTCACTCTTGATTTTACAGATTTCAACCTTGCTGTCAAAAATAACACATCTTGTAGCAGATGGAATAGCGAGGCTATTTCTCTTTTCCAACTGATCACCCAAACGTGGCCTGACGGTCAAAAGGCGCTTCTCAGACACTCAAGGTTGATCCTGGAAAGACCACTCCTAGGCCACCACTTGCTCAATCGCAGCATCAGCCCATACTTATGCCGATAACCACCGACAGCCACACTGTAATAACAATGTGATCCGTTGTTTTGCAAAGCAGTGTTTCACAACCAGTCCGAAAGCAAACCATGTCAGCTCCCGAACTGCCATGAAGGAAACCCAGCGCCAAGCCAGTGTACTCTTCATCGGGTTCCGACCTACTCAACCGAAGCAATTATATACCTCCTACTACCAATGCTACTTCCCGTAGACATAACCTAGCTGGAGCGCCTGTATTAATCAAGATCATGGATCGCGTCGACTCAGCCTACACAAAGAACCTACCCATCCATCACTACCAGCCAGAAAAGACGCCATGGCGTCGACTGGGACAATGTACTACCGCTTTCCTGCATATTCCCTTACCCGTGCTCAAAAGCACACTAACGAGAAAAGACCTCTATCGCGTTATGGAAGACGGGACGCACACTCAATATCGTCTCGCCGCAATCGAAAGTCTCCTTCCGCCTCACAGCGAGGGTCCGGTGTTCCATTTCCATGAAATGCATGATGAGGGGTTTTACGTTACCGTGATTATTCCGCTATCATGATTTTTTCCTTTTTGTGAGAGTGAAGGTCCGCTGATAAAGAACGGCATGCAGAAAGGAACCGTCCGCTTCCACAGCCCCGGCCGTGCCGACGTTGATGCCAAAGCCGGCGACCTGATCATCGTACCTATCCGTCTGCCTCATCGATTCAGTAACCCTTTCGACGAAGAAGCTGTCTTTATGAACACAGCCACGCCGGGATTCTTTGTGAGGTACTTTGAGTATCTTGAGTACTTGATTGGGGAGGGCACGGTGCTTACGCCGGAAATCAACAAGGCCGCGCTGAGAAGGTTTGCGACTGTGCTGGTAAGTAAGGAGGAGGTGGAAAGTTTGGAGAAAGAGGGGATGAGGAGTGAGAGTGTAGCTGAAATTGAGACTGAGACTGAGGGGGAGAAGTTCGTGGATTTTTTGGCCGAGGAGAACAAGGGTGAAGAGCCGTAGTGTTGATAGGTTTGCGAAGAGAAGTCATCACAGGTGGCCTAAGCGTACGCATATGTTGCTATCAAGGGATGGAATGCAGACCGTTCAGCAGACCCGGCATTTAAAGAGGCATTTAAAGTTATCGAGGATTAGCGTTGGAATGCCACTAACGATAATGTGTGGTTGGCGTGAGCTGGGAGGTAAGGGATTAAATTGGCATTAGCAGCTGCAGACAGAGATTCTGGACCAAACGTATTGACCTAATCTCATCTTCACCCCCGGATCCTCTATGGGATATGCATTTTGTCTCACACATTATCGTTGGCCAGCTCTCGGTGCAAATCTCACTAACAACGGCGGTTTCACCCAGAACCCAAAGACTTTCTGTCTATCAGCCCAACCCTTTCCTGTCCCAACCAGCTCCATATCAAATAGAAACAGCAGTTTCGCCCCAATCAATCTCATTTCAGCCCACGCTAGGTTCTTACCAAGGCAGTTCCTGGGCCCAAAAGAGAAAGGTTGGCAGCTATTCGGGCGATCAATGGAAAATGGCCCCTTCTCCTGACATTCTGGCAACCACCGCTCCGGTAGGAACTCTTGTGGACGGTAGAAGTTGCGTGGGTCGTGGTAGCATGAAAAGTGATTGACACCCACTGTCACTCCAGCGGGTACAAATTTACCGTCAATAACTGCGCCGTTGGCGGGGACAATTCTGGGTAGAGTCACAGCTACAGGAGGGTAGATACGCAGCGTTTCCTGAAGTACGGCGTTTAGATATGGCAGCTGGGCGACAGAAGATATATCTATCTGCTCGTACTTCTCGAATGCGCTACGGATCTCAGCGATGAGTCGGTCGTACACACTCACATGCGATAGAATGTAGTATGTGAACGCGCTTAATGCTGTCGCTGACGACTCTGACCCAGCTATGCTGAAGGAAAAAGCATTGACATTTATCTCTGCCCGTGACATCCCTTTTTCCGTCTCCATCGCAGCGAGGATGTAGTGCAGAAAGTCCTTGCGGTCGGTGTTTCGACCTATGCGACGATTAATGGTTTCAATAACTCGCTGCATGTTCTGTGCCCGTGCTCCCGCAATGGACTTGGGCATGAATAGCTGCTGAAAAGACAGTAGATTATAGTAGGCGAACATTTGGATAAAAATCAGTTCTTTGGAAATTGCACGGATAGATCTCACAAAGGGATCGTATTCCGCGGTGTTCAGGCAATGGAACCTTTCGCCGAAGGAAAGGTCTCGAATGAGATCATATGCTATTGATATGAGAATCGTTGAATTAGGTTCAGATAGCCGCTAACATACCAATGAAGGTAAACCAGTCTACCATGTTCTGCGGGCCATCGTTTGCTCGAGCGGCTAGTTGTCGCATGAGCTGATCTACATAGCTCTGCATGATGCATTCTTGCTCACGTAATGCTTTTTCGGAAAAAGCATGCGATAGAAGCCGTCTCTGTCTCGTATGTGTCTGTCTGTCTGCCGTCAGGATATCTGTTCTTTGTCAGTTTCGACCGAGGCACTCCTTGAAACGGAAGTATACTTTGTACGCCAGTTGGCGTTCGCAGCGAAAAGACAGGATCTTTGCCCATCTCATCTGATCGCGGTCCGTAGATAGCTCTCCATGCTTCCTCCGAATTATAGGATAGTTCGTTTGGAGCTACTCGCACGGTGTGGCCGTATCGTAGATGCAATTCGAGCAGCTTCTGGTTTAGCCGGCCGTGAGCCTGGTACCAGCACCATGGTAGCCGCGTGGCGGCCCATAGACTGGGGCCCGGATACCGTCTCAGTGGATGCAAAAATGCATTGTAGGATACGTAGAGAACGATGCATGCGAGCAGCTGTTGACATCAGTACAAGCCGCCTCGCGCTCTCGAAGACTTACCAAAGCAAGGGCAACTGCACCAAGTCCAAACATAGGAGCTAAACTGACAACCTGAGTCCATGCCATTCCTCTGAATATTTGGAAACATGGTGTTAGTGTAATGAGAGCTAGAAAGACATGTGTATCGGCGAGATTCTGAAACAGCCCAATTGAGTAACTCGTGGAGTTCGTCTCCTCCTCTCCCAGGAAAAGCAAGTCCCGAAGTGGATGTAGTCAGCTGTGCAATCGGACCCCGAGACTCTGTGAGACCTGATAAATAGTCAGCATTGCAATTTAAACTGCGATCAGGCAATGGAATGCGAGTGGGGCGTTTATCAGAGTATGAGTTTAGGCGCAAGGGGGTGACGCCTACAAAGATCTAGACTGTTACTATATCGGACATACGAGAAAACTGGCAAATACAGGAGGGACTACTACATGAACCCCACTAGCTAATTAGGCCAAACTAATGCCAATTAACCTTTATGCTTTTACTGCAACATTGGTCTCTGAAACAAGTCATAAGGAAAAGGGATTTGTTCGATTGACGAATAGAATGTTAATTTCAGAGAAACTTTATCTTACCCCGAATTTGAACCCAAAAGTATATCTAGAAAGTTGGAAAAGAAAGTACTAGTCATCGGTCATCCCGTAATAAGGGGCAATGCCGCGTAAGTATACAGTCCATCAATTTACCGAAGTATGGTTGGGGATTGTCGTACAGTAACCCTGACAGGAATATCGCCAGCAAGTTCCCGTATACAGCAAATGTTGTTACTTTCAATGCACAAGCAGAAAGCATGGACTATGGCATGTGGCTGAATCAGGTGATAACACCCAAATCTAGATGAGATACAATAATAAACCCTTGCCTTATGGTACTCCTATACCACCCCCGCTCCTTCCCCTCTGCCACATTCATCACTGAACCATCGAACCACTGCACACAGACTCACATCCAACATGACCGTCCCCAACTCAGAGGACACACACGTCCTTATCATCGGTGCAGGTATCACAGGCCTTATCCTCGCACAATCTCTCAAGAAGGTAGACTTGACCCCCACGCCGCCATGATTTCCCCAAACACCCCTCCCTGGGTAACAGTAATTGTCTAACGTGCCGTAGGCCGGCATCCGCTACTCCATCTTCGAAAAGGAGGTGTCCATGAACTATCGCAGCAATGAATGGACGATGGCTATTCACTGGTCTCTCGACCGTCTGCGCGACCTCCTCCCCGCCGACCGTTTCGCACACATGGAATCCGTCTCGTGCAACCCTGACGTTGCGCTGAACGCGGGCGGAAACTATCCCATCATCCACGGGGAAACTGGCCACTTGATTGCCGGTGTGCCGTATGCCAAAGGTCTGCGGGTTCCGCGCAGTAAAATGCGGGATCTGTGTAGCAAGGGGATTGACGTCCAGTATGGAAAGAATCTGATCGATGTGGCGTTCACTGAAAGCCATAAAGGAGTAGTTGCATTCTTTGATGATGGTACCATGGTTACTGGAACTATCCTCATCGGTGCGGATGGGCCTCGCTCGAAGGTCCGCGAGTTTGCCATGGGTTCGGCCGAAAAGGCGGCTGTTAGTCGCTTTCCTATTTTCCATACTAACATGACCGTTACCTACAACGATGCCGAGAAAGCTAGATATGTGAGGCAACGTTTTCCGACGAGTTATCTGGCTTTGAGTGATAGGTCGTATCATGCATTCCAATCTAGTAGGTATCCATATCTTGTTTTCGTCACTTGGGTGAGTTGCTGACTGTGTAGTTTCGAGCATGCCTGATGGTCCCGATCACCCTGAATCATGGATATTCCATTTGGCTATGGCCTGGTTCATGGACCACGGTCAACCTGCAACTTACCGCGAAAGATTAGACATGATCCGCGAGAAAGCCCAGAGTCTCGCTGAGCCAGCTCGGTCCTCGTTTACTTGGATCCCGGATGATACGCAGGTCCATAAAGCTGATATCAGCTACTGGGTCACTCAGCCTTGGGACAATCGACAGGGAAGATTGACGTTGGTTGGGGATGCGGCGCATCCGATGCCGCCGTGTAAGTTAACCCTACAGTAACTGAACATAATCATGTACTAATAGTGTTATGATTCCGATGATTAGACAGAGGACAGGGCCTCAATCACTGCATATGTGATACATCTCATCTTTTGGCTGGTATTCAGAAGGTAGTGGCTGGGACGACTACTCTGGAGGAGGCGGTTACTGCGTACGAAGCAGAGATGATTCCCCGCGGTCACGAAGAGGTCAAATGCTCGGTAGAAAACGGGTATATGCTGCATGATTGGGAACAAGTCCGTGAAAGTCCTGTTTTCCGACAAGGGTTTCGGCCTATGAGTGGTCACGATCGTGGGTCTGTTGACGGACATGAGAAGATGCAACCAAAGGATATTGTAGCTAATTGAGTGTGGTAAGGGAGGCACATGCATCTGTCGTGCGAGCTATGAGATATCAGTACTACGATTGATAATGATGCTGTTTACGTCGTACTGCAAAACGCTGGCTTGTTATTGGGGTACTATTGGATCTAGTACGACACAATGGCGCAGTCGTTACATATCCATATCATGCAATTGCGGAGTACCGCACTGAGCTAGCATTGCTAAGTACACTTCAAATTTAGCCGACATACAGTAGACTTTCTGAATCAAATCCCAATACAGGTGAAAGCTTCCGAAGTAAGCGTTAGTCGGCTGCCTCCTTGTACATGACCTGCTTACGGCCCAAAACCACTCGCCCAGAACTTGTATCGCACTGCTATCCAACCGACTTGATTACTTAAGAAAGTAATATATGATAGCCATAATATGACTCCTATGATGGTAACATTCGACAACAGAAAGGACGGGGATATACCAGCAAAGCCACGTGCGCCATTTCCAGATATGGGAACCTGGGCACCACAGGGCATGTGTCGTGATACCAGAGCTAGCCCATAAGGCTGAAAGCCTTTCTATGGGAAGACATCCCTCAGTCGGGTGCTGTTAAGGCTAACTGACAGGGATTATTCCGGTCAATACCAGTGGCGGCAAGATGCCTGACAGATCTGTACGAGATCCGATCATCTGACGACGATTCCGACATCATGGCATCTGTATTCCCCGAACTGTATATTCCGTATCGGAGTCACTAAGCGTTCCGGACACCGAAACTTAACTTCTCCAGCTCCACATGTCATGTCTTGTGCTCCGCGGAAGCATGTGGAATTGCCTCGGAGACCGAATGTTATCTTCCGACTCTTGGTGGAATACCCTTAAGTTGGAGATGCTCACGTTTGTTGAAATGTAGCTCCACCGCTTTGTGCCATTCCTCCTACCACTATTCATTGGGCCTGTGTTAAATGATGGCCTCTGAACGCCTCTACGCTTTGACAATCTATGGCTACCGCAAGCCAGGTATGCCTGAGGATGAGTATCATCGTTATCTAAGTGATCACCATGCTGTTTTGGTGAGACACCATCTCGTGAAGATGGGTATTGTCAGATACACTCTGGTAGGTTGGCTAAGAAACTGTGAGTGGGAGAAGCTGCTGACGCTGCTAGACGCACAACACGTCCGAGACAAAAGAGATGATGAAGCGTATCTTTGGAAACCTTCCCGAAGGCCACACCTCTGATTGCGACTGCTTGGCCCAGATTATCTTTCGTGATGTGGAGGATTATGTCCGCGCTCGGAATGACCCTTACTACAAGGAAGTCATTTTTCCCGATCATGAGAATTTTGCCGACTCAAACAAGACCCAGTTTGTGACTGGCTGGGTGGAATGCCATATTGTTGATGGGAAGATAGTCTAGAAGTATCTCATTTAGAGTGATAGTGGCGAATGGATAAGCAAAGTGCTACAGCCAATATTTGAAATCGGGCAGCTGAAATCCTCTGATGTCGACTGTGGTTGGCTGTAGACTAGATGCAATATCAAGTATTGATTCTTGATTATCTTCTTGAACTCCTACCACCTATGTTGATAGTAACCTTAGTTTGCCCAAGAAAGCATGATATTGTGATCTTTGTGTTTGTCCCTACATCATATGTTGCATGTGGCGACTGATCAAATAAGTGTGACAATGCAGCTATGGAACATGTTTATTGCATGACTCTCCATCTGTACAACATTTGTACATCAGCAGTATCCAAATCCTTTCATTGTCGCCATGGCATAACGGGAATGTGCGCTAGGTTCGCCTTTCTCCAGAACTCTCCGAGAATCGACCCGTATCTGCGTCGTCAGCGACGCCCCCTCAAGCGAAACAGTGGGCCAAGGCCGAGCTGGAAGTACATGTTCGGACATCATTCGATCATTAGTTGGCATTAACTGCCAGGGTGTAGACTCTTATAGGTCACTATTATCTAGCGTGTCAGCAGTACTCGGGAATAAACCCCTGTCGTCTCGTGTTATGCTAGGATACCAACTCCCTAATTCCAAATGAATAGCTTTTCGAACATTATGAATACATTTCTTCTCCAGATGTCTGTCAGCTCATGAAAGGAAGAATCTCACACCTCTTGATAGAACTAAGCCTTCAATCTTATGATCATGGTCGTCAGGACAATGCTGGAACATTCGAGCACAAAAACCGATACTTCAGCCATGAGCGAGATGGAGACAGTCGCCGAAGTATTCATTTTCGGTGATCAAACGGTAGCATTCGAGTCGACGCTACACATGTTGCTGCACGTGAAGGACGATGCAGTTCTCACTGACTTCTTTGATCGCGTTGCGTACCAGTTGCGGCGACATGTCGGGAATCTCCCCTTGCATCAGCAAGAATGGTTCCCTTACTTTACTACCCTCATTGACTTGCTAGCCCAGCACCAAAACTGCCAGGCGGCTCCAGCATTAAAGTTGCCCCTGTTATGTGCGACGGAGCTTGGCCAATTTATTAGGTGAGCCGTTGGGGTCTTTTTCCACATGCTCATCAATGCATGATTCTGAACTTTATGTAGGCATTATGGACAAGCAGGAAGAACATACCTTGCACCAGAAAGTACCTTTCTAATTGGGGCTTGCACGGGGGCTTTTGCAGCAGCAGCAGTTGCAACTTCCCAAACTTTGGCAGAGCTTGTTCCTGCTGCGGTTGAAGCCGTCACCGTTGCGTTACGGACAGCGCTGCGATCACTGATCCTGCGAATTGACCTTGAATCTACTGTACATGAATCACAGAAATCATGGTCCGCTATTGTAGGGGCCTGTGAGCCTGAAGCAGCAAGTGCAATCCGGAGCTTCAACATTGAGAAGGTTTGTGGAATCCACAGCCCAGGGAAACAGAAGCTGACAACCACAGGGGCTGCCTCCTGTAGCTCGTCTATACCTCAGCTCAGTCAGTCGAACGAATGTTTCGATTAGCGGGCCTCCACGCCTTCTGGGCCAGTTCCTTTTATCATGTGCCTGGAAGCACTCGTTACTTCCTATTGAACTGCCATACCACGCGTCGCATCTCTTCCGGAAGGACGATGCAGAATTTATTGTGGGCGAATTCCACGACTTCTCACTGCTGAAGTACACGCAACGGACCAAGGTTGTTTGCGCCGTTTCTGGCGAAGTTGTTGCAGCGTCTGACCTGCGCAGTCTGCTGCATCGAGCTGTCCAGGAAGCCCTCTGTGAGCCTCTCCAGTGGAATTGCATTACTGCATCTCTTTCTCAGGAGTTAAGGCAGGGCCAGTTTACAGAATGCGTGATCAACCAAGTCTCATCGCGAAGCGGATCGCTCATCAGCTCAGCTTTATCACAAGAAGCATTTCTCGGAGTCAAAATCGTGCAATCTATAGGAGATGTTGCCGTGTCACCTATCTCGAGCCCAACTGGCAAATTCTCTCAATCAAGCATTGCCATTATTGGGTTCTCTGGACGCTTCCCGGAATCTGGCTCTAATGAGGAATTCTGGGAGATGCTTCTGGCTGGTCGAGATGTACATCGCACCATTCCCGAGGATCGGTTCGACTGGAAGGCCCACTACGATCCCACTGGCAAGACAAAAAATACCAGTCGCGTGAAGTATGGATGCTTTATCAAAGAGCCTGGGGTGTTCGATGCTCGCTTTTTCAATATGTCTCCTCGGGAGGCCGAGAATGCAGATCCGGCACAGCGATTGGCCATCACTACGGCATATGAGGCAATGGAGATGGCGGGGCTGGTGCCAAATGCGACACCGTCCACCCAAGGGGATCGCATCGGGGTGTTTTATGGGGTGACGAGTGATGACTGGCGTGAGGTCAATAGCGGGCAAAATGTTGACACATACTTTATCCCGGGGGGAAATCGTGCCTTCATTCCCGGAAGGATCAGGTATGTTATCTCGATTGATGACTGAAGTACTACTCTGCTGACAGCACAGTTATTTCTTCCGGTTCTGTGGCCCTAGCCTGAGTATCGACACGGCATGCTCATCCAGCTGCGCGGCTATTCAAACAGCGTGTGCCTACCTATGGCGAGGTGAATGCGACACAGCCCTGGCTGGAGGCGTGAATGTGTTGACGAACCCTGATAACTTCTGTGGACTGGATAGGGGCCACTTTCTGACGGCTAAAGGTTGGTCTTACCAATTCTGTGTGAGAAGTTTTCGACTGATAAGACAGGCAATTGCAATGCTTTTGATGATGAAGCGGACGGATACTGTCGCTCAGACGCCGTTGGTACCGTTATTCTCAAACGCCTAGAGGATGCTCTGGAGGATAACGATCCCATCTTTGGAGTCATCCGTGGTGCATACACCAACCATTGTGGTCGAACAGACTCCATCACCCGACCTTTTGAAGGCGACCAAGCGACTGTGTTCAATCGGATCATGCGATATGCTGGAGTCAACCCCGAAGACGTGGGTTACGTGGAAATGCACGGCACTGGAACCCAGGCCGGGGATGCCACTGAGATGAAGTCGGTGCTATCTGTATTTGCGCCTCATGTGCGCAGACAGAACGCTCTGTACTTGGGTACAGCAAAAGCTAATATGGGCCATGCTGAGTCTGCTTCCGGAGTTTCTTCCTTGATAAAAGTGCTACTGATGATGCGAAATGATATGATCCCACCGCACTGTGGCATCAAGACTCGGATAAACCATACCTACCCAAATGACCTAAAACAGCGCAATGTGCATATTCCATTCAAACCCACACCTTGGCTTCGTGAACAGATGCCGCAATTCAAGCGAACAGTGTTCTTGAATAACTTCAGCGCAGCAGGAGGTAATACCGCCATGCTCCTCGAGGATGCACCAATTCGAGAGAGCAAGTTGGCTGCGGATCCTCGCTCCAAGCACCTAGTGACAGTGACAGCGAAAACCATCAAATCTCTCAAGGGGAACATCAGTACTCTAATAGCATATTTGGAGCAACACCCGGGTATATCCTTGTCGTCTTTATCCTACACCACCACTGCCCGACGTATCCACCATAGCTATCGAATCATAGTGTCCGGCTCTGATACAGGGGAATTCCTACACCGGATGCAAGAGATTTTGCCGGGATTGGAGAGCCACAGACCAGTTCCTCCACCGGGAAAGCTGCCAAACATTATTCTGACGTTCACCGGACAGGGCACCCTCTATGTCGGTATGGGCAAACAGTTCTACGACACGGTACCCTCGTTCAGGGCAGACGTCACGAGGTTCAATGAAATCGCAAGCCAAATGGGCTTTCCAAGCTTCTTGCCTCTTATTGATGGCACCATGATCAACCATCAGGAAGCATCGCCCACCGTAGCCCACCTCGCCTTGGTCTGCATTCAGATGGCACTATACAACTACTGGAAGTCTCTAGGGATAATACCATCGGCAACCATTGGCCACAGCCTCGGCGAATACCCTGCACTGTATGCTTCGGGTGTTCTTACAGCCTCGAGTGTAATATATTTGGTGGGCGCTCGGGCTACCTTGCTGGCGGAGAAGACCACCCCACGGACTCATGCCATGCTGGCGGTGAAGGGGTCCGTAGATTGTATCCAGGGCGAGCTACAGAATACTGGGTGCGCTCTGGCTTGCCTGAACCAACCTTTTAGCAATGTTGTGAGCGGATCGATCAAAGCGTTGATGCAGTTGAAGGACTGGCTCACGTCTCGTGGCATTGAAAGTGTCCAGCTTGATATACCATATGCCTTTCACTCCGCACAAGTGGATCCGATCCTAGATGACTTCATGGCGATCGCTGCGGGTGTTCAGTACTGCGTTCCATCAATTCCATACATCTCACCTCTTCTGAGCAGGGTCATTCCAACTGGCCAGCCAAATATATTGGGAGCTTGCTATTTGAAAAACGCATGTCGTGAGCCAGTCAACTTCCAGGGTGCTGTCGAAGCAGCAGAGAAGACTGGTCTAGTCAACGAGAAAACCATATGGGTGGACATTGGCTCGCACCCGGCCTGCTCAGGCATGGTAAAGGGCATACTGGGTGCAAAAAGCGTCACAGTTGCATCGCTCCGGAAAGGCTCAGATCCCTGGAGTGTGCTATTGGCAAGCCTAGAAGTCCTTTACTCCCATGGTATTGACATCCAGTGGGCCGAGTATCATCGCGGGGTTGTTGGTGCTCGCGAGGTCCTCCAACTGCCGCGGTATGATTGGGATCTGAAGAATTATTGGATTCAATACAGGAACAACTTTTGTCTCTTGAAAGGTGAAGGCTTGGCTCCTGCGGAACAGCAAGCAGTGTTGCCGCATATGGAGTCTCCGCGCATTCCCCAGTATCTTTCTCCATCTGTCCAGAGAATTCTCGAGCAGAATGACGGCCCAGAAATATCTACCCTCTTAGCTGAGTCAGATATTCACGAGGCAAGGCTGGCGCCAATATTGGCAGGTCATGTTGTTAATGGCGCGATGCTATGTCCATCGGTAGGTAAAAATGTAGCGTTAGGTTGTTATATGCTGACATGGCCCAGTCACTCTATGCCGATATTGGTATAACTATCTCGAAGCACATGCTGGAGGAAATTGGAAAATTCACCGATACAGTTGGACTAGATGTCACTGACATGCAGGTGCAAAACCCATTGATCTCTCGACCAGACACTGAATCGCAAGTCTTCCATGTGTCTGCATCGGCAGACTGGAAAATAAATAGCATCTCCTTCCGATTGTACAGTGTCAACGGCAGGGGTAAAAAGACTGTCGAGCACGCTGCATTTGTGGTGCACATTACCGAGCAGGTTCAGACATGGTTGACTGAATGGAAACGTCATGCACATTTGGTACGGAGTCGAATTGCCTCCCTACATCGCAGCGCGGAAGAAGGCGACGCGCACAAACTCAAGCGACGCCTGGCATACCAGTTGTTCGCCACTCTCGTGCAATATGAAAAAAGCTACCAGGGGATGCAGGAGGTTGTTTTAGACTGTGACAATCATGAAGGCACTGCCAAGGTATCCTTCCAGATCGACGATAACGGCTTCGTGTTCAATCCGTGCTGGATAGACAGTCTTGGGCATATTGCTGGATTCATCATGAATGCCAGCGATGCTACTCCTTCCAAAGAGCAGGTCTTTATTAACCATGGCTGGGAGCGTATGCGATGCGCCGTGCGGTTTGACAAAGGAAAGCAGTACCAAGTGTATAACCGAATGCAGCTGGAGACGGGGACAACCTACGTGGGTGACACATACATATTTGAGGGAGAGACAGTAGTGGCAGTGTATCAAGGGATTCGAGTAGGTAACCACATACTTTGAGATGGTGTAAAAGGCTAATGTTTGTAGTTTCAAGGGGTCCCTCGACGACTTCTCGACCGACTACTGCCGCCCAAGTCGCAGTCGCGCCTCGCAGAGAGGAATCAGGAAGTGCACCCTACAACAGCACCCGTCAACAATCAACCGGTATGCCGAAGAGCTGGTTCTCCATCTGTACCACTAGCTCCAGCTCCACAGCCCAAGGCGCCGGTAGGTTCGTCGGGTGGTATCGCAGAGCGTGTAATGGCCATCATTGCCAAAGAAGCGGGCGTCGATCTATCAGACTTGGGGGCTAATGAAGAGTTCGCCAACCACGGGATTGACTCGTTGCTATCACTGACCATCTGTGGTCGTATTCAAGAGGAGCTGGATGTTGATGTTCCATCTTCGTTGTTCGTAGACTATCCCACTCCTAAGGATCTGGTCGGTTTCTTTGGTGTGGAGGATGACTCTTCTCAGCACACATCCTCCTTGGAAGGAAGCACCGAGGACGACACATCAAGCTACGAGACGGTTGCGACTTCAGAGCACGAGTCGGATGTGTCTGTATTGGAGATTCTCCGGACAACGATCGCCCAGGAAGCGGGCATATCAACCGATGAGCTGACACCGACCACGGCGTTTACTGATATCGGCGTGGACTCATTACTCGCCCTTACCATTGTGAGCACCATGTCAGAGACCTACGACATAACCCTGCCTTCAAATATGTTAATGGAGAAGGTGAACCTGGAAGAGGTCGGAAATGCACTTGGTCTTGAAGTGAGCCCGAAGACTTCCTCACAGCATTTGATGCTTCCTACGCCCGCTTTCGATCTATCTGTTGGTCCACAAGCCACTTCCATCTTGCTGTGGGGTAAGCCCAAGACAGCTAAAAAGATACTATTCCTCTTCCCGGATGGGTCAGGATCAGCCACATCCTACTCTGCCCTTCCCAAGCTTGGCAACGACACAGCTGCGTATGGGCTGAACTGCCCATGGATGAAGACACCGGAGCAGATGACAGTCAGCCTCGAGGAACTGACAGCAAAGTACCTTTTGGAAGTACGTCGACGTCAGCCGAACGGTCCATACTATTTGGGCGGTTGGTCCGCTGGAGGAATCTGCGCGTACGAAGCTGCCCGCCAGCTCGCGCAAGACGGTCAGACTACGGCCAAGCTAATTCTAATCGACTCACCTAACCCAATCGGTATGCAGAATCCCCCGAAGAGAATGTACGACTTTTTCCAAAGCATCGGACTCTTCGGGACCAGTGGCAAGCCACCACCTGATTGGTTGATCCCGCACTTCAATGCCTTTATCCGGTTGCTGGACGCATATCGGATCCAACCACTTGGAGCGTCCATCGAGACTCACATAGTGTACGCACGCGACGGAATCTGCAAGGATGCTGGTAGCCCTCGGCCGGAGCGCCGGCCAGATGACCCGCGTGAGATGGTCTGGTTGATTGAGAATCGGACGGACTTTAGTGGGGATGGGTGGGCATCGCTGTTAGGAAGGCCAGACCTCCATATCGAGGTCCTGAGCCAGGTCAATCATTTCTCGATGATGGATCCAGGGAAGCATATGGAAGCGTTTGAGGGGTTTCTTCGCCGGGCTTTGCTGTAGGAGTCTCACCTATGAGTCTCATAGCAGTAGATAGGCATGGAAAATGCTGACGGAATTACATCGCTGTTGTCATGACATCCGGTGACCTTCTGAATCAAACCGCTCTTTGTCGCACTGCATACTTTAAGCTGGTTTCACCCCTGTCGCTGACTTGGCATGGGCTGATGGCACAAAGACCGCCAATTAAGCGGGACGTCCTTGCGTATTGGCAGGGACATTGATCCAATCTGGTGATTTCCTTCGGATGCCGAGAGCGCGCAAGCCCTGCCATGGATGCCAATTCTGCCTGCGCTGTGTAACTCGGGGTTATAGTATAAAGCCGGTAGCTGTTTATTTCCGATGACTTGCACTTACACTTCTCAGACTACATTAGCATCTACTGGAAATAATCATCATTTAGACGAATCATGTCTCTCACCGACCTTGCAGCTCGAATCACCGCCAACGCCCAACTCCTCGATGCCCATCTTCAGTCACACAACCTGCCATACCCGTCGACATCTATCAGCACACCCCCCGACTTCCCCAACCCAGACAACGACCCGAATGTGGAATCAGCCCGCATAGCCCTTCTCGAAGACACCCAGACTCTGCGCAACTACGCCCTCGGGCCAGCGCAGGTCGTCCGCGAACTATGTTGGAGTGTATGCTATATCCTATTCCACTTACACCGACCCTACTAACAACAACATATAAACAATAGACAATTGATCTAGCAGTCCAACAATTCCTCTACCACTTCTCCATCCCAACCCTAATCCCCTTGAAGTCCAGCACCAGCTACGCCACATTATCCTCCCAAACTAATCTTCCAGAGCGCACTCTCCGACTTCTCCTCCGCCAATCGTTCCTAAATGGCATCTTCCACGAACCGGAACCAGACCGTGTCGCGCACACGGCGTCTTCGGCTGCTCTTGTGATGAATGCACCTTTTTATGACTGGTTCGGGCATTCGGTGGAGGAGGTATTCCCCGCTAGTGCGAAGCTTGCAGAAGCGTTGGAGAAATGTAGTCGGAGAGGGATAGAGGGAGGGAGGGCGGAAGATAGTGCATTTAGTTTGGCTATTGGTGACGGGGAGAGTGTGTTTGAGTTCTTTGAGAAGAGGCCTGATAAGCAAAGACGCTTTCGGGGTGCTATGGAAGCGGTGGGTATGGATGGGGGCCATGATTTGGGGTTTGTGGTTGGGGGGTTTGATTGGGGGAAGTTGGGGAGGGGGATCGTTGTGGATGTAAGTCACCACTTCCTTATGTCTCTTTGCTTTCGACAATTAATCATGATTTGGATATTTGTAGGTAGGAGGATCCTCGGGCTTCTTGAGCATTGCTCTGGCAAACGCATACAAGAACTTGACCTTCGTGGTGCAGGACTACAAACATACCGTTGATGAAGGGCATGCGGCACTACCCTCTCATCTGAGTGTACGGATATCCTTTCAAGCGCATGATTTCTTCGCTCCGCAGACTGTGACCGGTGATGTGTTCCTCCTTCGCCATGTCTGTCATAATTGGTCTGATGAGAAGGCGGCGCGGATTCTGCGGAATCTGGTCCCTGCTATGAAGAGCAGTAGTCGGATTTTGCTGGTTGAGGTTGTGACTGTTCGTCCGGGGGTCGTGAATCGGGTGCAGGAGAGGTATATGCGGTTAGTCAGTTCCTTGTATTTACGTCTTGGTTATGTTAAGGATGGTTGCTGACTTGGACAGGAATGTCGATGTTACTATGTTGCAGATGCTGAATACGCAGGAGAGGAGTAAAGAGGATTGGGAGAGTGTGGTCGCTTTGGCGGATAAGAGATTGAAGGTTCTGGAGGTTCATAGGCCGGAGGGGAGTTGGGATTCGATTATTGAGATCGGATTTGTGGTGACGAATGGACATGCTTAGATGCATGTCGCTGGTTGGGTTTTTTTTTTTTTTTTTTTTTTTTTTTTTTTTTTTTTTTTTTGTTTTTTTTTTTTTTTTTTTTTTTTTTTGATGCTGTTTCTTTCAAGGTTATCTTGGTATGATAGTCTTCGAAAGACAAAAATATACATGAAGAAAAGGCTCCGCAGGAGACGTTATAGTCATTTCATCGCCATCAGTCTGCCATCACATTCTGCAATCAATGTACTATCAATCCATCTACTCAAGGTTAAGTGGATATTTCCTCAAGTATCTCTCCAACGTAGTCAACTCCCCCCTCGCCTGCTCCGCCGACCACTTCACCTTCTCCTCCGTCCCATCCCCGTAATACCCAAACACCCTGAAGAGCGTAAACATATCCACAATATGATCCCTCATCATCTCCGGCAGAAACCCCTTCCAAGTCTCCTCCGGCACCTCACGATACACCACCGTCTTCCCCGACACGCGGCTCATAGTCTCTACCATCTCCTCAAAACTATACATCGCGGTAGCACAGCAAAGCACCTTTCCCTCATACTGATCAAAATCCGCCACAATGGCCGCCACCCACTTCCCCAGATCATCCTCCGTATTAATCAACGGGAGCTTCACATGAGCCGGAACAGGCAAAAGCAAAGCGTATTCACCATTTTCCATACGTCGCGGGGCCATGGTCTCATGGAAATTCGACATGAATGAGCCTGGTGCGACGAAGGCGCTTCGAATCGGTTGCGTACGGATGTACTGCTCCACTTCTTCTTTGCCGTCGAAATGGCCGCCGTTCTTTAGCCATCCTTGGGAGATTTTTGAAATGCTGGGCAGAGTGGAGTAGATGTAGTAGGGCACGCCCACTGCGACCGCGGCGTTGATTAGGGCGCGGCCATGCGTGACTTCGTGCTCGTAGGTGTGGCCGTCGTAGATTGTTGGGGTGTTTGCAAACACGACATGTGCACCTGTAAAGGCGCGTTGGAGTGATTCGGGGTCATCGAAGCTGGCTGCGACGATTTCGATGCCTTTGGATGCTAGGTCTTGTGCTTTTGGACTGTTGGGGTCGCGAGTTGTGCCTCGGATGGTATACTCCTGGCTTAGTTTGGGGTCGGAGAAGATAGTGTGGACGATGGAGCTGCCTTGTTGGCCGGTGGCGCCTACGACCACTAGAATCTTGGACATTGTGGTTGAGGTAGTTCTGGCTTTGGTTTGATTCTGTTGTTGCTGGGAGTTGTCGCTGCAAGGTGGCGGCGCACGAGGCCTTGCAATTTGTAGGAGACAAAGGAGTCGCTCGTATTCTCACGGAGACCGAGCAGCGAAACTCTGCATCTCGGAACAAAGAACGGAGTCCGAAGATGTTGAGTGTGCGATATTCAAATATCCCTGTACACTATGGATCTTAGGATTTGCTCGTTAAGTCCGACCCTTAAGTCCGACCGCTGGTATCATGGCGATGGCCTTAGTGCCGTATTCTTGATATTCCCCGAAAGCATAATCCTTTCTTTGTGCAGATTTCATGGCTGTCGATTGACGTTGGCTGTCCTTGGTTCGCTGCCACGGTTACATTTGGGTAGTCATCTGGAAAGTCTGGGGATACCGTTATGATAAGCAAATCTGATCGATTTGCTTCTTCGGAGTAAGAAAATACTGTCCGCATATAGTCATGTCACTGTAGACACAATGCGTAGAGGGATCTGCTGCATGATCAATCGGTTTGGTGCCGCCATTCACAACACTGAGCCTGAGAATAATTCCGTTAGTAACGAGAAGATTGTGGAATATGTCGTTCAGGCCTCTGAAAGGAGGCGCGTAAGGTAGTCGAGTTGTATGGTTGCATGCATTGATATCCGGTTTATATTTAGACCCGGGAGCTTGTATCCTGATCTTGCCATATATTACAGACTCGGCCGCCCACAAAAACCAGGTAAAGAGTCGTGCTGGCATTCGTATTGCATTAGGGCGTCCCATCCTGAACTTCATACTGTGCGCTTGAACCACTTCGAGAGGCGACAGACCTCTAATTTCCTTGGCTATTGTTCTTCTGCTGTCTCAGCGCATGTTAGTTTATCGGAATACCACATGACAGGGCCTGGTATACTGTAAATCTTCGCGATATCCAGGCAAAGGGTTTTCGAAACATGAAAGGCATAGGCCCCCTTCTACTTGTGAAGAAGTCATAACTGAGTATTATCAGGGCGAAGAAAAATATATAGACTGGATGAATATAATCCGCTACCGACAATGAACATAACATAGGGCAGGGTTTGTTTGATATACATCTGAATGAGTCTTGAGGCGTTTCTGCCTGATAATGGAAAGAAGCAAGGTAATATATATAAGGATAGGCCTTGCCGGACTTTCAGACAAGTACAAGCCAATATATAACACAGTGGGCTGCGCTACGGTATTCACATCCCAGATATATGGAATTTGGTAGCTAGTGTGCTTCGGCAAGTAACCCACCTTTCGTCATAATTCTGGTCAGTAGAGCGAGTCTCATCGACTCCAGCACAACGATGGGATCTATCTGGAACGTTTACGTTTAGCCTATCTCAGTGCTTCCTCCGCCCGACAAAGGCTGAAGCTAGTATGCAAATAAACATGCGCGGAATTAGAGCTAGACTAGACTTTCATGTCAAATAGGACAACTTTCACATGCTACATATGTGTTAAGTCGCCTGCAAGTCTGGAGTGACAATCGCGGAATGACAAATCAACACCATTACAAGCCTATATTTATCGCAGCCCCTCTGTCAGTCACCGATTGGTGGCCAATAATCCGACGTCAGTTTCCGTGATTGTGTTGTCGTCTTGACCAATAAGCTGCGATGCTCAAAATTTCCCGAAGCGGCAGACTTCCAAGCCTTTTCCGGTTGTCATATGAAGCACATATCATTTATGGATTCGTGGAGTGCGCCTGTTGTGATCCTTCGGTGTGGCTGCGAGGCTTACTGCATGCGTAACATGAGCGCCTGTTATCCCGCCCCGTTAAGGCTCTATGGGGATTTCTCTGCTGTATTACTTCAGAGGGGTTATCAATCGCCCTCAAGAGATTACTGAGCATGTTCTGTTGCACGCAAATACTTTCCGATTTTCCTTTTAGGCGAACTTGGATACCGGTAACACGGACTAGGTGCTCGTCAAAGTGGTATATCTGCATCTCCCGAAATGCTCAGTGACCAGGTGTAGAGAAATAGGCCTTTACTCTCATTGGGTATTTTTTGCACTGCAGGTGGAGTCGGTCTAGGTCATGACTTATTTGGATTTCCCGACCATTGAATGAAATGGGGGTTTCCCTTGGTGCGGTCGTTGTAAACCTGGCCTAGCACTCTCCCAACTATTTCGTCCACGATCGGTCTGTCGTGGGGGGAGAAGGCAGATTGAATAGTTGCAGAAATGTGCAGGTGGCAGGGGATGCTCCGCCTCGCCCCTTTTCCATTGTTGCTAATGCAGTCCAGCGAATTGTCCTCGTGATATCTCGATAGGCCCGTTGACAACCGAGAGACTTTGCGCTAGCATACCTACCTGCACGTCTGATAGGGCGCTTATCTAAAGTTCTCGACGTTATCATCGTCGCTGCTGTGGCTAGCGTTGTGCGTTCGTAGCAACTTTTAGTCCCTACAGTACGTGTTGCAATTTCAGCCCTGACCTACTGGTGTGAACATGTAGACCAGTCACACTGTGTATCCTAGCTTGATGTTACGCATAGCTTCTAGACATGTCCTTTTGACTGCTGGATGAATGACTGTCCCTGACATTAGCAGTATGCCCGTATCCCTTTCTGACCCTGACCCACGTGGTTGTTATTTGAATGGCGCGTCTTCCTTGCAGCACATTAGCCCAGATTGCAATCCGACCGGGGTTACTGACAAATAATGGAGTGATAGAGGGATAACCTATTCATCACAAGAATGAGCTTAGCCATGGAAATAGAGACAGTCTAGGGAGCATGGGCGTTTCGGGTTCGAATGGACTATCACTGACCGCTACCATCGGACTCTAGCTACGGTCGCATATGAGATACACCAATGAATCCATGACAACTTTCGTGACCCGGGCTGCTCCAACCACTGCGAGTGACGTAGGCGTCTTGGAGAAGATGCATCGGAGAGGGTTCGGTTTAGAATCGCGATGCTAAGGAACCGGTGGGGTACAGAAAGCATCCTATAATTGGAGCTAAATGGGTAACTCTGTAGAGTTGAGTGGACACTCGAATCAGTATGATCCATTCAGGATTGTTTTACCATCCGTCAAGGCGATAGGAACGGCATATTAGTGCTAGGATAGACTTCATGGGAGAAAACGAGAAAAAAAGAGAAAAGACAGTGCGGGCAGATGGACGGGTCGGGCCGGAGTGTCCCTCTTGTTTCCTCTCCACCGCGTGATCCTCCCCTACCCTCTTGCCCTTCCCATCTTTGCCCTCCCATCCTTCCATCCTTCGTCCCAACAACTTCATTCGCGACAGCCACACTCCCATTTTCCACCAACGCGAACACTGTTGGTCAAGGCGCGCACGGTCGTCCATTGATTCCAGATCCTACAACATGCAGTCCAGATAACTGATGTCCTTACTATGTCAACGACGAATCCTGTCCTCTCCCGAGAACATAGCTGGTTGTTGGGAAACCGTCATCATGGCATTTAGCCGACAAAAGAGTCATTGTGGATGGCTCTGATGGAACCACCCAGGCGATTACTTACTGGGAGGTGCTTGACGGTCGCATCCTCCGTCAGACTGATGAGCCATGCCCCGGTGCGACAGAGCCTCATCCGAACCTTCTTACATGTGAACGGAGATAATCAGGTTGACGGGTGCCTTTGCATGTAAGATTCTGTCTTGGCTCTTCCTCCAGGACGGCAAGCCAGCGCGAGGGAGTATGGCTGAGCCTCGGGATGACGCCGTGAGGGGATGCCACACTCCCCCTCCCTCCAAATTAATCAGTGCGTTGCGCGTGCGCTATCTGCGACAAAGTTTGACTAGTATGCTCGAGTGCACGCGGTTGCAGATAGCGTAGCCTATGCTGCCTTCCGGAGAAACTTGACTTCGGATCGCTAACAGCATCTACCAATCCTATTGGCTGGCAGCTCACACTGGAGTGTGCGTAGATTCAATAATGCCTTTGTTCGGCCTCCATGAGAACGAACAACCCTATCCCATGTCCAGGTCTTACCACGAAAGGTAGGACTTGATCGGTTCGCAGATCTAGTAAGTTACTGTGGTCGTTGATCAGCGCGTGGCATTGTCGATCGCATCCAGCTGGTCTAGTCGATCCGGTTTGTAGAGAGCAGACTGGTGTGATGGGACACGAAGAAGGGTGCCCTTCAGCCAGCCCAGTCCTGCTTATCTGAAGTCCTTTGGTGGCGAATTCGGGGTTACCATCTCCGATGATAACATTGTTGGCTTGAAGAGACGATCGGTTGTAGCCGCCAGCCATGGATCGTCAGGTTTGGGTAAGATGCCATGACGGGGCCGTTGTTGAAAATGGGGCGATGAGGGTTCAGGGATTACGCAGCGGATGTGACTGGGACCTGCAGCAGAGGCCGTGCAAGGGAAACTTTTTTGATCTGCTGTGAGGTTGGCTTGCAGCGACCTGACTGGGGGAGAGAAAGGGACAGGGTAGCACGAACCATGGGGCGTGAACAGGCCGTTCGTGTTAGCTTGAGGCTGACGGACGAGAGTTCATCTGACAGCATCATGGGGGTCGATCAGTGTGTCTAGTGCTTCCTAGTGGCTCTCGACCACAATACCCGTCTGGCCTGTAGGGCACCACTCACTAGTCATCACATCTCAGCAATGGCCCGTTCAGGCACCGCTCGGCGCCAGCTCTGTCCTTCACTTCCTCTAGACCGAGAGCTGTATCTCAGTAGAGCCCTTCACCTAGCCCCCATTCATCATGTTTCCAGTTTGAGCAAGACGAAAGCTGATGTTGGAGTTGGACAGGGTTTTGAGATAATGATTTGGCATGCTCCTTCCTCATCTGTCTATCTTCACCCCTCCTCGTCACCCTCAAATACTTGTGCCCGTTTGTCTATATAACTCCTGTGATTCCCATCACTCTACAACATATAAATTGGACTATTGAGCATCCCGATTCTGTCTCCTATACTTCCTCGGCCATACTCATCCTTCCACCTGTCCAGATATTTGGCCATAATATTCTTTTTCTATCCTCCACATAATATAGTTATACAAGATGAGCAACATTTTGGATACCTTCCCTGAATACGCCCAGACGACATCTCTGGATCATCTGCGAGAGACCCAGTATAGCTACTTGGACGAACGGGGTCACACATACCTCGACTACACCGGTTCTGGTCTCGCAGCCAAGGAACAGTATCATGCTCATAATGCACGCCTCACGGAGCAGGCCTTTGGCAACCCGCACTCCGTCAGTCCCACTAGCGAAAACTCCACCCGACTCGTCGAGCAGGCGCGCGCCCACGTACTTTCCTACCTTAATGCCTCTCCCGACACATATACCGTCATCTTCACTCAGAATGCTACGGGAGCAGCACGTCTTGTTGGAGAATCCTACCCTTTCTCCCGGCAGAAGCAGTTCATCTTGACGGCAGACAACCACAATTCTGTAAACGGAATCCGGGAGTACGCTCGAGCAAAGCATGCACGCACCGTCTATGTGCCTGTGCAGTCCCCGGAGCTCCGAGTCAGTCCGGCTACTTTGGCATCAGTTCTCGGCGGCCACTGGTGGGAGTGGGGACGAGACCGACTAGCATTGACCAAAGGAGGCCGTCCGAACCGTGATCGGGGACTATTTGCCTATCCAGCCCAGAGCAACTTTAGTGGAGTGCGCCATCCCCTCGAGTGGGTGACATTAGCCCAACAATGTGGCTTTGATGTGCTCCTAGACGCTGCGGCATATCTGCCTACCCAGAAGTTGGATCTGTCTCCCAAGAACCCCCAGCCTGACTTTGTTATGGTCAGCTGGTACAAACTCTTCGGCTACCCCACCGGTCTAGGCTGTCTGATTGCCCGCCGTGATGCTCTTAGTCGCCTCTCACGGCCCTGGTTCTCCGGCGGGACAGTCAAGACGGTGGGGGTAGCGCTGACCTGGCACGTCATGGCCGCCGACGAGGCCGGGTTTGAGGATGGCACCCTGAACTTCCTGTCTATTCCGGATGTCCAAGTGGGTCTGGAATGGCTGGAGCGCGTGAACATGTCTTTGATCTCCACCCGAGTGCGCTGCCTTACGGGCTGGTTCCTCCAGCGGCTGCTCGAACTCCGTCACAGCGATGGTTCCCCGATGGCCGAAGTTTACGGGCCCACCGACCTCAAGCGTCGTGGCGGCACCATTTGCTTCAACTTCCTGGACGCCAAAGGAGATATTGTGGATGAGCGGATTGTGGGGCAGGAATCAGCAACTGCCTCGATCTCTCTGCGCACTGGCTGTTTCTGCAATCCAGGGCCTGCAGAGAAGGCTTTGCGGATTGATACGCGGCCGCTGAGGCGCGTACGACGTCGTCTCCGCAAGGGCCTAATCCCGATGGACACCTACATCAGCATTGGTCGTCTTCCGTCGGGAGGGGCCATCCGGGTATCGTTTGGCGTGGCCTCGAATACAGCAGATGTAGATCGATTTTTCGAGTTTGCTACCAAGACTTACCGGGACCGGGTGCCCGATACGAGTGGACTTAGCCCGCGTGATGGGTGCTAGCGGGGTATGAATGTGGATGTGTACATGTTTATCGAGCCATCTGTTGTCGTAATGTTCTGTGTATAGCTGTCATACCAATTAAAGTGTTTAGAGTAAAGGTGTTCTCATTGGTCTTTGCACTCCTGCACTATTGATTGTATTCCGTGCTAGGGCGAGTTCGTCTTACTAGGACGGGGACCAATATTTGGGTCATCCTAGTCTCACCCGGTTAAACGCCCCCCACGCATGTGAATCTGTCTTAGATCGGCTATCTGGCCGGTCTGGACTAGCGATCTCACTATGCTTGATGCAGACGAACGAAGAGGGGCGCGGATGGCTCGGGGCCGAGACGAATATAGGGCACCTCGAACCGGGGGGGCAGCAGCAGCAGCAAGTAGTAGGGCACGATGGTGCTCCTTCGGTCTGGGGATCCATCCAATCAGCTCATCTATCTAGCATATCCGGGCTAGCTGAGATCAAGCCAAGGATCCTTAACAAAGCTATTGATGTGATGAAAAAGTGACTTTCTATCATCATCCCTCCTCTATAATGCACAGCCACATATTGATCGACATGCGCCACAGCCTCGTGGGCGTTGCTTTTTGCTGCTGCCGATCCTCTCGATCGCATCCGCTGCGACCCATGATGTGATTTACTTTACGTTGCATGAACCAGTGTCTTTCCCTTCCCCACTTGAGTGAACCGGTTTCGATCTGGTTCTTCCATCATCGGGAGGGGTTGAACCCCGAGCCCCCCGAAGGATCTGAGATTGGATATTTTGTGGCGGTGCTGAGTATGGATGATCCCCTCCTCCTCTATCTTGCTCATGCAGGGATAATTACTCGGTCCCGCTGCCAACCTGTACTTTTTAATCTTTAGCCCTGACACATGCCTTACTTGCTTGCTTGCTTGCTTAGCCAGTATGATCTATACGGAGTAACTCTCTCAGGTGCCCAGCACTCCATCAGCTCAGCCCTTTCACTTCCCTCCTGACCCACCATACCGAAACAGGGCATCGGTCCCTGCCAAGACTGGCAATGGCTTCCTTTTCTCCTGCTGAGCGCCTGTTTCCGATCCCCCGATCGAGCGCTTCGCATGTAACCTGCTGGTGTCTCGGGGGTTCATCGGGTATCAGCTGTCAGCCGTAGAACATGCAGCTCTCTGATGGTGAACCAGTAGATACTCTCGTGCGCCTAATTATGCAGTTTGCTGCCTTCGTTGCCTAACACCTAGATTGCCTTTATTGCCTTCGCTTGCAGGCCGTGATCCTCGGATACGAACTATCCGTGTAGCCTCGACGCGTCAGCCTGGAGGTATGGGTGGTTCGTGCGCGTGTGGATGGCTGAGATCATGGTCTAGGTACTGTGGCAATCTTTCTGCGGCTGGGACGGCATCTCTTGCCCTCTGGGGTAATGTTGTCATGGGTAAGGTGTCTACATTCTCCCTGGTAGAGTTATAATATAGTCTATTATACTCCTATCCCTGAGTGATATTATGCCAATGCTAATGCTTCTACGATCTTGGTCATAGTGAGTGGCCCGCCAGACGGAACATGGTACCCTAACCCGCCCGATATGCTTGCGAGGACACCCTTTCAGATTGCCAATACCCATTTCCCACCCTCAATAATGCATTTCTCAAACAACTACATCTCAATAAAAAAGATATCATATCCATAATATCCTAATATGCCGTAGACCCTCGTTCGATGATAGATCGTATAAGGAGCATCTCCGTTCCCCACCGCAGTTTCAGAAGGTTTCACCTAGAAACACCCGATATTAAGCTTAACCTTTTATAACCTGATCCTGATCCCATACTCTTTTCAACACTGTAAATTCCTCCACACCTGGCGTGTTCTTCATTCATTCAACCATACATACATACATTCTTTACTATTCAACTTCGTCCACTCTTTCAGAAAAACATATAGTCAAAAATGTTCACCTCAACCACCCTCCTCCCCCTCCTCGCCTCCTCAGCGCTGGCGCTGCCCGCCCTCACCACCCGCGCCCAAACCCAAGCCTCCACCTCCCTCTGCGGCGACTACGACTACATCATCCTCCAGGACTCGCCATGGATCGTGTACAACATGCTCTACAATGCCGATGAGATCGTCGGTACCCAGTGCACCGACTACGGCGAGATGACTACCTCCACGAATGGCACGAAGGAGGTCGTTTGGAGTAGTGTGACTGATATTGAATATGTAGAGAGCACGTAAGCCACATCCCTCCCTCCTTCCTTTAACCCTTTGTTCCCGAAGTTATCTAATAGATGTACAGTAACAATGTCCCCAAGGGATACTCCTTCGTCGGACTAACCGAGAACCTGGAGACCAAGATCTCGGCTATCGAGTCCATCCCAGCGGAATATACTTGGTCGAGGACGAATTCTACTGCCTTTAAGGGTAATACCTTACCTTTCCTTATCCCAAACTCTATCCTGATAATCAATATACTAACAATAATAATAAATGGTACAGGCAACGTCTGCTTCGACTTCATCACCTCCCCCACAAAGGGCGACTCCACCTCCACCTCCGCCCACGAACTCATGCTCTGGTTGCAATACGAAGGCGGCCAGCTCCCTATCGGCTGGACCAACGGGGCCGTCGCCACCATCGATAACCTCTTCGGCACGTCCTGGAAGCTGTACGAGGACGTGAATGAGGATTCGGGCGTCACTGTCAGCTCGCTGTTGCCTGATACCCAGTTCGAGGGCTCCTTTGAGGGTGATCTCAAGGAGTGGTTGTTGGAGTTGGTCCAGTTGGGCAAGTTTACGAAAGAGGCGTATGTGAATGTTGGTAATGGAGGGTGAGTTTATACCTCTTTTTCTTTTTGAGAATATTGGGTTCGGTGGAGAGATGCTGATAGTTTGTAGTACTGAGTTCTTCTACGGTAACTCCGTTATGAATGCTACCTTGGGATTGCAGATTAACCTGGATTAAATCATATCCAAGAGCGGTATTCGGGGGAAACTCTTGCGGGATGTTATTCCTTTTTGTGAGAGTGTTTGGGCTTGGATATTAAATTCCTATGGCTAGTCTTGTGTAACACTGCAGCTGTCACATATCTACCCTTGACATAAGTCTAATCCGAAGTGTCAAAATTAAACGTTAACCTTGTTGCGTAAGATGCTTATTGTAACACAAAATTACAACTTGCTCAACAACCGGGTGTTTTTGCTGGGTTATTTGGATAGATCAAGTATTGTGTTTCTGGGTTAATCTTGCTATTGATTATGAGTAGGGCTAACAAAAGAGGGACACGACGAAGAGAATAAACAAAGATCGACCAAGTCTTTGTAGTAAACCGATACCACATAATATATATTCGCATACATAAGATCATCCTCTCTTTCCCAAGGAATTTCAACAAGAAACTTGTCTCCAAAGAGAACTTACATCCACCAGAGCCAACTGAAATATATATCTTCAACCCATCTTAAGTTGTCACGGATTATTACCTCTGTTATCTCGTTATAAGAGGTCGACACAACCCAACTCGTCGGTGTGATTCCTTCAGATGAAACCAAACAGCGGGTGAAAGAGTCGACTTTAATCTAGATCATGAAAGGATTGGATTCCTATAAGAATATATGAGACGGTAAGAAGAACCAACCAACAAAGAGTGTTATGACCGTAGACTAGCATCGGAACAAATCCGTGGCCACGCTGACTTGGTCGGTTCGTTCCAGAATGTCAGAAAGTTACTCGGATTGGCCGTGTCTAAGGTTTGCCCCCGCGTTGAACCAGATTTGGTTGAAGGGATAAAGTTCGCGGGGAAATGCCCTTACGTTTCGTGCCGTGGGGTTGATTTCTGGATTTGAGAGTTGCTGGATTATTTATCATTGGTTACTGAAGGGGGACGCTGATCCTCAGTCTACATGTAGAGTAGCGAATTATGATAGTTGTCATTACTGCGATTCACATTCTGATAGCATAGACATAACATCCAAAGCACGATTCATCTAACTACTACAACCCACTTTATTCCCAATCTACACGGAAGCTGCAAGCTTATCCTCTCAGTGACCCGACCGCTCACCCCCAATCTCCGGCAATGCAAGGGTAGTAAACCTTTCCATATGATTTGCAACGTGGGGATACAGCGAGTCAGGACCGCGATTCTTGTAGATGAGCTTCCGAGGGCACAGCGGGCATTGGCTGGGGACTTCCAGCCGGGTGGTGGGTGTCGAACTCTTACTCTTGTTCCGATGAAACGAAGCAAGATGCTTGTCAAGATCGCTCTTGTTCGTGAATTCGCAATTATTGCAGGACTTTCCCTGAGAAAGGCAGGTATCACACACCCAGTGCTCGACGGTCCCGAAATTCTCTTCAAGATGGGCTGTTAGCTCAACCACGTTTGCGAATTCCTTCGGGTCTTCCTGCTTGCAACATGACCAGAGACAGGTGAATGGTAGAAGATCGTGGTTTACGTGTTCGCTATTCGAATAGTTAGTTGAAGGATTCTTCTGTCGTTGTGAGGTCCTAGGAGTTCGTTGGAAACTTACTACCAGGCTGTGCGCTCCGAGTCGGCCTCCAGGAGCATGTCACCGCAGTATGGACATTGGAATGTGCGCTCCTGCCCCTCGATGGACTTTGAGGAAGAGGCGTTCGACCAAGAGGCAAGCTTCAACTGCCTCATCTCATCGGTGGATGGCAGCTGGGGTTGGAATACATTTGCTGGAGGGTTCTCGGATAGAATATCCGTGGTGTTGCCGTCGCCAGTACTATCTGCAGCCCGCGCGGTGGCCCGCTTCTCCGCTGCTTTTCGCGACAGGCTCAGCCGGTGGTGTCGGCGGAGTATGACGTAGATTAAGCGGTGGACTTGCTGTCGATGTTCCTGTTCGAGATAAGCCAGTGCGGGTTTACCGCTGGGTAAGCCTTCACTAGCTCCGGCTTTGTACTCGGGGAAGTCGATGGAGTATCCTTGATGGTACTCCCGGATAAGATGCTTCTTCAAGCTGCGCAGGCCCTCAACATCCATATCACGGTAATGCTTATAGTCGGGGTCATCCAGCTTTTGATAGTCCACGTACGTGAACTTGGCCTTGGCTTCATAGTCCCGGGCCTCGTTATAGAGATCCGCCATTCTTTCTGCGAGTAAAGCAAGCTTTTCAAGACTCTGCTGGGCTTTCTCTAGCATCTCAGTGAGTTTGGGGCCTCCTTCAGGCCTCACCGGCCGTTCAATTTTAGGGCCAAACTCATCCCATCCGGGTTCCGATGACTTGACATCTTCTTTGCTCTCATGGGACTGGTCAGCACAGCCTCGAAACAGACACTCCTCAGGCTTCGTGAGTGTCTCAATACACTCATCCAGCCCCTCGATGAGCTGTTTCAAACGTCGAACAGCATGCGGTCGGACAAATTCGTCTGAATGCAACCCGCTGTCATCATAAATCCCGTTGGAGGTGGCGCAAATTCGGAGTTTATGTCTCCAGTTCTTCTCAAAGTATGTCTTCATCTGTTCTGCCCAGTTCCTAAGTGTCGCGTGTTGCAAACAGTCGTTGAGTTTTTGTAGAGCCGAAATGGTCATCGAGCTGACCGATGGGCTCTCCATTGTGATGTACAGGATGTGTATAGTTGACGGAAAACCTTGATGGATAGCAATGAATCAGACAGATGGGTGAAGTCAGCCTGTACTTTGCTCTCTGTGTGTGGAGCAAGGTCGCGCGTCTTATACACGGATGAGTACATCTTCTTTGCAAAGAGAAAGGGCACCCAAGGACAAAATTGGTGAGGAACAACGGTAAACTGCGAAATGAACAAAGAGCAGAACTACACTTATTTGTTGCATTACTGATTGCAATCATGACTGGATCGACAATGTTTTCTTTGTTATGTTGATGCAGCCAGTCATGATTGGACTATCCTTATCCAGTCTTCGGTTTCAACGGGGGGTTCCCATCAACTTATTATCGTTTAAGCATGCATAATACATTGTCTGAGGTCACATCTGAAATGAATAACATGAAATACAATGCATGGCGACGACCCGTCTTCGGTTTGTCTGTTGACGGGAGCTTCAGTGGTGTCTCAGATTGTAGTTTTATCGCATGCTCATGCCCATTGCTCAGTAAGAATGTTTCGGATGTTGTACAACAATGTCGGTGTGCTTTTAGCTCATGACTGAATGCGTGTCACTTGAGATTTTAAACTGCTTCTATCTACTACCCGCCGGACCGAAGTATACAATTGCATGTAGGGAAGTTAAGCTGGGGCGGGGCCCGCTTCGAGGGAAGCAAAATTCCAGCAAGACCCCAGGCTCACTAGGGCGGCTAAATCCATCGATGTTGCAGCTGCATCATGGCTCATTCCACAAGCGAGATGATCGCCCAAACTTGTCCATTCGTATTTGTCTCTAACGTTGGGTTAGTCTGCGAATCAGTGGCGCTTTTGATTCGGTTCCAATCTGCTCCAGTCACAGCCTCCAGGCTGCACTGTGATAAAGCTGTAGAATCTGCAAGCGTGTTAGTAAATTGACGTCTCGCCTCATGAAAAAGAGGAGCTTGCGAGAGCAAAGCTAGCGACATGAGTTCAAAACGTGGTGGGCCTACCAGCAGAAAGAGGGCTCGGTCGCAAGCAAGAGAAGACACGCAAGCCATCTCTTTGGCCCGGAAGGATTCAATCCGCCGAGCATCCGTACACTCCTAGCCAATGAAATACCAGAACAGCCTCATTCTCCCTCTGCTCATGACATCATAGCCCTTAAACCCCCTGTAATATTATCTGCAGATCAACCATTGATCTGGTGTCGTTGGAGACATCCGGGGTACCGGTGCATTTATTGGACCTCATCTAGGAGTGATTCGTTGGGTTCGAAGATTGGGAATGTCTGATGTTATTCGGAGATCACGCATTTCTTGACGGCGCGACAATACTAGGCGAGCATCAGGAGTGGCACAAGAGGAGCATCGGATCTGTCACGGGTAGCATGATCCATGGAAATGAGATAAGCGAGACATCTACTTAGTATGCGATCCGAGGCGACAGCTGAATGGCCATATGGACATGAGGGACAAGGAACGGGGCGGAAGAGGGAGATTCCGCCCGGAAATTGGTCCACGTGACTCGACCGGCAACATAAGCGGCGGAGATAACAGCCGGCGATAATTTGTCACACAGTCGGTCTCGGCACATTCCGATGCGCGCAACTCAATTTTACTCGTATTCCCTTGCCTCTGCCTCGCCACCCACCCATCTGAGATGCTTCATTCTGTATATGGGACTGTTTCCGATGGGGCTGGGCTGTGCGTCACCTCTCGTAGCCCAAAAGATCATCCCATTTACATTACCAAAAGCTGAAATCATTCTGACACCACTTTTACTGTCCTTCATTCCAAGCGTGAACACTTCCATTAAGCCATGGGCTTCATCATGATGTCCACACTCTAGCATCTAATATGCCACGTTCAATTGGCAGGCCTTAACCATTCATACATGATACTACCGCTAAAGTATGGATCATGGATCCTAGGGATGTTCTTCCTTTCCAGAACCATTCCTCCGGCCAAGGGCTAATAATCTGGATCCAGTAATGAGAAGCGGACACGATCCATCGGGCCCGAAACACCTACCGGGAGGCTCAACAAAAATCATAATCAAAGAAAAGACGGCTCGGACTCGGAGGGTGCTACTCCGGTGAAGAGAGAAGAAGGATATTCTATGCCGCCACTGTGATTTGTTGGTTGGGGTGGCGGGTACCTGCAGCACAGGCCGGTTCATTGTTCGCCCGCTCGCTTCTCAAGTGTTGCAGAAAGTGGCCACGCACACCACGGCACATTCCTAGCGAGATTGCCCCCCAGCAATGTCATGACCAACATGATTATCAAGGCATTAGAGGAGGATTCGAATAAAAGTGCAATTAATCAATCATATTCGGTCTTTATCTACCGTGATAAAGCCATCGACAAAAATGCTTATCGACAGAAGCTGCGACAATATGGCGATCTTCTGCACGGTAGTGGAATGCTTGCTGCACTTTAGCTTTAAGCTCCTGCACCGGTGAGGCGACCGGCTGCTGTCTAGGCCCCAACCTGCCTAGCGGATCCAGCTTCCGGATAGTGGGCGATGTGAGGGATTGCAATCTATGGCCACTAGATACTCCTTGGTCTAGTCTGGATGGACTGCCGAGCAAGTGAGGAACGAAAATTAGTCAAACCACATGGTTGATAGATAGATATCACCACCCCTCGAGCTATCTGCCGAGTATCTCCTCGTTACCCACGCGGTTCTTCTGCGGGGAAGCGACCATCGGAGCTGGCAGGAGCTGTCGATGGCTGATGCCGTTCTGTCGGCAGACACGTCCGGACGGGGATGGGATGCACCGCGTCGCATCTGGCGCTACAAGTAGACTAAGCGGGATCCGAGGGACGCTGGTAGCGACGGCGCTGTGCTTGGCGGAGCCCATCCATGGTTTCCCTGTGTCATCTTAACCTTCATGATTGGAGCGGACAGTCCGCCATCGGGGGGATGACCAATTATTCATGGTCATCAACCTCGGATGCGGTCCGATCAGCGAGTGTCCGGTGAGGAGAAGAACCGTTGCTTGTCTCAAAACGGTAGAAACATACGATGGGCTTTTTGGCTTAGGTTTTCCCCACAAGTCCGGCCTCTGAATCAGCGTTGCCTCTCAGGTTCAGCTCTCCAGTCAATTTGTTGTCCCCAGAATTCCAGGCTTGTCAACTCGTGCCTGCCCGAAACTCAATCCTGTCTGTGCCTTTCAAATCACCGTATATTATCCGCAGACTTTTCCCGAATCTTCCTTTTATTCTCCCCCATCCCCCCAGCTCCCCTTCTTCGCCTCCACTCTACTCCTCCTTCCCTCTTCTCCTCCTCTCTTCACCTCATCGTCTTCCTCTCCCTCCTCCTACTCCTCCCTTTACCTTCCGCCTTTCAACACGGCCTACACCCTACACCTCACCACCATGGAGGCCGTTCACGACAGTCCCCCTCCCTACGCCACCGAAGGCATTGACGAGAAGAAGGAGGATATCAGCCAGGTGGAGCAAAACCTCAAGCCGGGCCTGGAGGAGTCCGACGCTTTCGGTAATGAGGAGTTTGCCGAAATCAAGTACAAGACTTTGAAGTGGTGGTATGTATCCGCTCCCCGCCTCCCACCAATTCTACGGAATTTCTGCTAACACATTCACAACAGGCAATGTGGACTGCGTATGCTTTCTTCCTACCTCTTCTCTGCATCACAAACTCTAATACTTCCGCAGTCATGATTTGCGAGTCTGTCTCGCTGGGTGTGCTCTCGCTACCCGCCGCCGTTGCAACCCTGGGTTTCGTCCCGTAAGTCTAGCCGGATCGACGATGTAACCTCACAATCCGCTAACTCCCATCCTTCAGGGCTATCATCCTCATCGTTGGTCTCGGAATTCTCGCAACCTACACCGGTTACAACATTGGATTGTTCAGAGAACGCTACCCCCACATTCAGAACCTCGCCGATGCGGGAGAAATCTTGATGGGCCCTTTTGGCCGTGAACTCTTCGGCCTGGGCCAGTTCCTCTTTTGCATCTTTGTCATGGGCAGCCATCTCCTGACCTTCCGTGTTATGATGAACACCATCACCGACCATGGCACCTGCTCCATCGTCTTCAGTGTGGTTGGCATGGTTATTTCCATGGTCCTCTCCATTCCCCGTACCATGAAGGGCATGACCTGGATTTCCTTTGCCTGTGAGTACATTTCCCCTCGGCCTACGTACGAATCATGATCTGACCGACATCTTGCTGTTTAGCCTTCCTCAGTATCTTCAGTGCTGTCATGATCACCATGATCGGTGTGGGTGTTGAGAAGCACCCCGGTCGCATCATCGAGGCTACTGTTGACACCACCCTCTACACGGCCTTCACCGCGGTCTCCAACATTGTCTTCGCCTACTGTGCGCACGTCGCCTTCTTCGGTCTTATCGCCGAGATGGAGCAGCCCAAGGACTTCAAGAAGTCGCTGTTCATGCTGCAGACATTTGAAATCAGTCTGTACGTGACTGCTGCCTGCGTCATCTACTACTACGTCGGCAAGGATGTGCAATCCCCCGCTCTCAGTTCCGCTGGTCCTCTTTTGAAGAAGGTTGCATATGGAATTGCTATTCCCACCGTAAGTAGACCGACTGATGAATTTCCTCGTTGCACGAACACTAACATCTTCGCAGATTGTCGGTGCCGGTGTCGTTAATGGTCACATTGGCTTGAAGTACATCTACTTCCGCACTTGCTCCAAGTCGGGTCTCATCCACAGCCGTAGCCGCCGCTCGGTCCTTGTCTGGATCGCCTTGGGCTTGGCCTGCTGGCTGGTTGCCTGGATTATCGCCGAGGCCATCCCTGTCTTCAGCGACCTCAACTCTCTGATTGTAAGTCACCTACTTCCCTGCACAGTTTCATCTCGTGCCGTCGCTAATGTCATAATTCAGAGCGCGCTCTTCGCTAGTTGGTTCAGTTATGGTCTCAGTGGTATCTACTGGCTCCACCTTAACTACGGCCAGTGGTTTGCCAGCCCCCGCAAGATCGCCCTGACCGTGCTGAATGCCGGTATCGCCGTGTTTGGTTTGGTGCTGTGTGTCCTGGGTCTCTATGCCTCGGGAACAGCCATCCACAACGATGCCAACAGCAACAGCTTCACCTGTGCCAACACGGACAGCTGAATGTGCATCTATATATATAGACTTTACATCATTAATGGCGTTTATGAGCGAATTCTTTTGCCGCGTGTCTGGGACCGCGGCAGATGACGGCGTGACGGGTTTATTTGCATGACGGACTAGCTAATGATTTTTTCATGAGTACATAATATGTTACCATCTATCTTCCGATCTATTACTTCAAGATTGTCCTCTGTAGTGGAGTTATCCGGTCGCAACCCCTTGTACCCTAATCCACGGTGGGTATGTAACTGCCTGTTTGAAGATTGAAGCTCAGGAGAGCCTACAATCCAAGCTAGAGGTTAAGCTTCCCTTGTATATGATTGAAAATTGAGTACTAGGTCTCAATATCCTACACTAACAGCAGGCGGTTGATTGAGTGCTGGCGAGTATGACTGGGAGGCGAGCTGGGATTAACTATGCGTGCTGATTAAGCACCATCTACATGACTAACTAGTTAGCACAAACACAGACATTTTGTGTTGGCTGTCATGCCTCAGGCATACAGCAGCACCATGCAATCCACCAACCGTTGGCAGCCGGCAATATCCAACCATCCAACCTTCCAGTACTTCCCTTTCGGTCGTCTGCTGTTGAGAATAAATGTTGCCATGACCACGCGTGCAGAGTTGGCCACCCAGGCTTGTGACATCTGCCGGAAGCGCAAGGTCAAATGCAATGTGACTTCATCATCGACCGATGCCCCTTCCAGATGTGGGCGCTGTGCTAGATTAGACCTGCCGTGCACCTTTCTATCTCCATCCCGGACGCGAGGCCCAAAGAAACGGTACGCTAATCCGATCTTCTTCTGCCGTGAGTGGTCATTGCTAACATACACTCCAAGCTCACATACAAGATCTCCGGCACACTCGCAGCCAGATGGAGAGAGTGGGGAGGCCCGGGTTTTGGGCGCCATCAATTATCCCACGGATGATCTGTGCGATCGACACCTTTTTTCCTGCATCATGCAGGACTATCTGGATTACCTGTATCCTCTGATTCCAATAGTGCATCGGCCGTCTTTTCGACAGTCTTTGCAGGAGAACCATGATCGCGAGGATAGCGGATTTCTTGGGCTCATCACCGCCATCGCTGCGGTGGTCATCGCCACTATGCCTAGCAGATTTCATTCATATCGAAGTGCGACCCCGCCCTTGAGGTTCACGTCACGTAGGGACATGGTCCGTCATTGCTATGACAAAATTTTGCGGCTGAGGGACTTGACCTACTTCGACCACATTAATTTCCAGAAGTTTGCCATCTCGTACTTGATGTATGCTGCATTTCGGCAGTTGGGTGACCATAATTGGTCCCGTATGTTAGATGTGGAGGCAACATAACTTGCTCGCTTGTTAAACCTCCATCGCGTCTCTGAATATGATGGACTTAATTGCATTGAGACTCAACTGCGGAAGAAGGGCTTTTGGTTGATTTTCTATGGATTCGTGTAAGTGGGCATGACCCGGAGAGTAGTTGTCTTGCAGTCTTGCTCATTTGATCCAGCCATAATCAACTGCAGAATGTGCTAGGAGAGCGATTGTCATACCTGGATCCCATCCTTCTTCACTCTATCAACCCGGAAGATCTCATGCCACTCGAAGTCGATGACGAAATGATCTTCGAGAACGAGGTGCTTATGCCACCGTCCCAAAGTGCATGCCTGGTAACGGGCTTTATCCTCCACTCCAAGGTGTTCTGGGCTGCTATCAGGAGCACCTGTCCGGAATCACCGGCTGGCCCGTGTCCCTGTGTGAGGGCCCGCGATCCAGCCGTGCAAATTTCTTACATCCAGGATCGTCTTCACAATTTACGGTTCTTACTGGATGATATTCCACCTCTCCTCCGGCCATGGCAGCCATCGGATACCGACACTATCGCTAACGGTGGGAACACTGGTGTGACAGAGATGACGCAGTCACATTTTGCTTCTATGCGAGTAAATCTACATGTCACACACCTGTGGCTACAAAGCTTGCTTGTTGATCAGCTGGAGGCGGCGCAAGCGCACAAATCAGAGCTATCATTAACATCTACCGACCATGCACAACCAATGCTTGATGCAAAAGCGTTGTGGCTTCAAAGGGAAGATCTTTGTCGTCAACTATTCTGCATCCTATTCAGCCTGCCCCAGATCAACCTGGAAGCGAATGGTCTACATTTGGCGCACAAAGTGCGTGATATCGCGGCGGGCTTGCTGGTATGCCCATTCCATCCAGCTGGCCCGGAAGCGGAGCGAGCAGCCGAGTACCTACGGCAGTCAACCGACATCCTGTCTCGCATAGACAGTAGCGAAAGCATGGTTACGATGCATCTACAAACCTGGATAGATACAGATCGAGTGAAAGGTAATTCATAATAGTGTCAGCGTGCTATTTCTTTGATATAAGCCCCGCTCAGAGTCCCGACCAGAAGGTGGTCTCACTCAATTCTATGGCGTCCTCCAAGAACGTCCCACGGCTACTGGTTCCAAGCATGATTTGATATGTGCCACTGTGGCTGCACCAGCTACTGCTCTTCTCATCCCAGAAGCTTGTCGCGCGGGTAAGATCCAGCGGAATCTGCACCACCTCCTCTGCACCTGGCTCTAACCAGACTTTTCGGAAACCCTTTAGCTCCTTCAGTGGCCGCTTGATTGGCGGCGAGACCGGGGCGACATACAGCTGTATCACCTCCGCTCCAGCCCTGGATCCGGTATTACGCAACGTGCAGGTGGCGTGCAGTGAACATGCCTCCCTTTCGAGGGATAGCCCCGATAGTTCGAATGTTGTGTACGAGAGACCATGGCCGAAAGGGAACAGCGGATCGATCTCAGCCTCGTCATAGAACCGGTAACCGACATATACGTCCTCACCATATAGGACTCTACCACCCTCTGATCGATAATTGAAATAGGTGGGGTTGTGTTTGACGTGGCGGGGGAACGTGAGTGGAAGTTTGCCAGACTAAGACATCCGAATAAGTTAGCACCACCAGGCCAGTTGGAATGAAGAGCTTACCGGGTTCACGTCGCCGAAGATGACATCCGCAAGGCCATTGCCAGTTTCGTTACCGCCATACCAAGCGTGCAGCACTGCCTTTGCCTTCTGAATCCAGGGCATCTCTACGGGAGTTCCGCTTTGCAGAATGACAACAGTGTCCGGGTTCACCTCAAGTACCCGAGATATCAGCTCATCTGTATGTGGTGGCAGGCTCATGTTCGTGCGATCCTCGCCCTCTGATTCCCATTCCGCACTCAGCCCAGCCACGAGTACGACCTGATCAACCGATGCAGCCAGCTGCACTGCCTCTTCGATACCTGTAGAAGGCGAGAGCTGCTTGCAGGCGCCGAACCGGAAGCCACCGTGACCAAAGTCGACTACCCCGGGAACCTTGAACGTGCTGGTTTTAGCACATCCCCACTGCACATGGATCTTGTACTGTCGACCGGCCGTGAGCTTCAATGTGCCTATTTCTTCCATGGTGCCGCTCCCAAGGAAGCTAGACCCCGGCCTTTGTATATCAGCGTTATTGACTACTAGGTTTCCATCCACATATAGCTTGCCCGTCCCTTGCACACAAAGGCCAAAGTCGTAGAGGCCGGTTTCCTCTGGGACAAAATATCCCTCCGCGTCTGCAAACCACACGGGTTGCAGCTCTGGGTGATTGTAATCAAGGAAGAATACCATCGAGTCCGTCTCGTGTCGTTCCTTGAGTGGTACTCTGTTGGCTACGCTGGGAGGGTCATTGAAGATTCTCAAGGTAAATCCAGTAATACCGTCCTGAGTCCGCAGGCGCTTTCCCAGCAAGGGCTGGTTTTGGTGTCCGTATATCCCCTGAGCGAACTCCACGCCGCCGGAAGCTGAATTCGAAATCCCCTCAAAGGGAGTTACAGCTTGGTAGGGATTGAGCGCTGCACTGCCCCCTCCGCAGTAGGTGGCAATCTTGGAATTAGGGCCGATGATGGCTATTTTCTTTGACTTGTCCAGAGGCAGAATGCTGTCATCGTTCTTGAGGAGGACAACTGCCTCTGAGGCGATCTTCCTGAGTAGCCGTCTATCCTCGGCACGGTTCAGCTGCAATTCCGGGGCACGCTCAGGAATACCCGATCGGCTGGCTTGCTGGACCAGACGCAGCACAGCACGAACACGGGCATTTACCGTCGCCATGGGAATCTTGTTTGCGGTGATGGCATGTGACAGAGCACTGCCGCGCCATCTTGTCGGTCCTGGCATTTCAAGATCGAGTCCAGCGTTGATGGCCTCGGATGTGCTATATGTTCCAAACCTGCCAGCGAGTCAGCGACGAGAAGGGTTGGAACAGGTGTGATCGCGATTATGGAAACCTTACCAGTCACTCATCAACAGACCCTCCCAACCCCAATCTTTACGTAAGATGTCTTGAAGAAGCGTTGGACTCTCCGATGCATGAAGCCCGTTCACTTTGTTGTATGCCGTCATGATGGCTTCGGGCTTTCCCAGGGAAATCGCAATCATGAATGGCAGAAGGTAAATCTCCCTCAGCGCCCGGTCGGTGAGAATGGAATTGACAGCCATTCGCTCATGTTCCTGGTCATTGCATACGAAGTGTTTGAGCGTTGCAACGATGTTCTCCTCCTTCAAGCCTTTGCAATAATGGCCTGCTATAATACCTGACAGCAGCGGGTCCTCAGAGAACGACTCGAACCCCCGGCCTCCCAGCGGACCTCGCTGGATGTTTATCGTCGGGCCAAGGACAACATGGGCGCCTTTGGCCTTGGCCTCTGCTGCTAGCAGATGGCCAACCTGTACAGCGAGATCTTTATCAAATGTCGCTCCAATGGCCGTACCGCATGGCAGACAAGCTGCTGGCACGCTGCCAAAGAAGCGGGTGCCACGGACGCCATTCGGGCCGTCAGACAGGCGAATTGACGGGATCCCGAGCCGGGGGATTGGAACGGTGTGCCAGAAATCGTCACCTAGCCAGAAGCAGTCAGCTTTTGATCATGTTTAGGAAGCTGTGCGTCGTGGGCATACCCGTTAGCAGAGCAACTTTCTCATCTAGGGTCAGTTGCTTGATGAGCTCCTCAATATCGGCGTTTGCGATTTGAACAAAGGACTTGTCCGTCTCGGCGGCGGCATGTACGCAAGGCATGATGCGTGCAGTCTGCTACAGCGTGTGGTTGGGGATAGTGTGTCGGGAGCTGAGACAGAATGCTCACAGATTTCCACCTCCATCTTGTGCAGTCCTGGGCGCACCAACTAATTATGTTCTCGCAAACGCGCGGATGGACATCGCAGTGTGTCTTACGGAGTACATAGGAGCTCGCATGGTGCCGACCGAGGCCAGCATGGATGGGGTGATCTCTGGGTCGACGGGCCAGCTCCACCAGCTCCGCGAGTTCTGATTGATTCTTCAAAGCCATCCATTCCCATTTGACTGGCTTCAGAGTTCCTCTAATTCTCCGTTTCTCCTTTTCTCCGTTTCTCCGTCTGTTCTTCCCCGACTCCTTGCCGTTGCCCTACCCCAACTTCCCCCAGTTCTCCACACTGTCCTTCCTGCCGTTTCTCAGATAACCGTGCGTCTGTGGATTAAGCAAAATGATGAGCCGTCCAGCGTCTCTCGCGTCATGGATATGGGTATAGCCGCCTCGCTACGATTGGCGGTTTAACATGGCTTGGTTCCGAATCATTCGCAGGGTAAAAGTTCGCTAATAGCATCAGCGTTCAGCAGTCGTCGTGTTCCAGGAAAGCCACACGAGACGTAGCTAGCGGGGTGCGAAGGAATAAACCGCCGACGTATTGGCGCCTCTCAGGCCATCCTTGAAATAGCCTGCGCTTCCTCGGTTTGCCTATGCCGAGTTTACTGTCTTCATCAAACGTCGGAACTCACAATGGGCATCAGCAAAGCAGACACATCGAGCAAGCATGCAGGAGAAGATCACCTCGCGGCGGTCCTCCCTTCAGGTCCTGCATGGTACAAGCAGCCTCACTTGGTGCGACTCAATCTCATCATCCTTTCATTGGTTATGTTCTCATCCGCCAATGGCTTCGACGGATCTCTCATGAACGGTCTTGAAGCCTTGGACCAGTGGAAATCTTTCATGAACAATCCTACCGGGGCAAAACTGGGATGGCTGAATGCCATCTACTGGCTTGGCTGCGGCATTGGCTACCCAAGTGCATCCTGGATTGCCAATCGATATGGGCGCAAGCCAGGCGTCTACCTTGGATACGTCTTCTTGACGCTGGGCTGTGCTCTCCAGACTGCTGCCCCCAATGCAACTGCGTTTATGCTTGCTCGTCTCTTTCTGGGAGGCGCGTCTGCCCTGTTCGGCAATGCCGTTCCTCTGCTCATCAACGAAGTCGCCTACCCGAGTCACCGCAGCATTTTCAACTCGCTGTTCATGTCTGGGTGGTATGTCGGTGGGACAGTCGCTGCTTGGGTCGTCTTTTCGTCTCGTACCTACAGCTCCTCTTGGGCTTGGCGACTCCCTTCTGTCCTCCAGGCCCTAGTGCCTGTTGTTGGATTACCAGGGTTCCTTCTGGCCCCGGAAAGCCCTCGCTGGCTGATCTCAGTAGGCCGCAATGAGGAGGCTCGGGCAATCCTTACACGCTATCACGCGGCTGGCGATGAGAGCTCTCCCCTTGTGGCATATGAATTCTCCGAGATCACTTCGACCATCCAAGCGGAGCAAGAAGCCCACAGCAGTGGCAGCTACTTAGAGATGGTGAAGACTCCGGGAAACCGATGGCGCCTGATGATCTCTATTACTTTGGGACTATTCGCGCAGTGGACCGGCAACGGAGTGATCTCGTATTACCTGTCGCTCATCTTGGACTCGATCGGAATTACCACTGTCCGTGACCAGACGCTCATCTCGGCCTGTCTGCAGATGTGGGATCTCATCTTTGCTGTTTTAGGAGCGTTTCTGATTGATAACTTTGGTCGCCGTCGAATGTTCCTTTCCTCGGCGGGCATCATGTTCGTCAGCTACGTGCTGGTGACAGCGCTCTCAGGATCTTTCCAGACCACTAACAACGCGGCCACGGGGGGTGCTGTGATCCCGTTCCTTTTCATCTACTTTTCAGGATACTGCATTGCTTTGTTAGTCCACTCCAACAGGAACAACTTATTGTTTATGCTAATATGATCTAGGACCCCGTTCTTAACTTCGTACCCCTGCGAAATCTGGCCCTACCGACTGCGATCCCGCGGTCTGACCGTGACCTGGGTGGCGACGATTATCGGCATGTTCTTCAATACATTTGTGAATCCGATTGCTCTGGATGCGATTGGGTGGCGGTATTACATTGTGTTTATTGTGGTGCTGGTGCTGTTTGCAGTGACTGCATTCTTCTTCTACCCAGAGACAAAGGGATACTCGCTGGAGCAGGTGGCGGTGATCTTCGATGGGCCGGTAGAGAGGGAAGAGGATGAAGAGAAGCGGTTCGAAGAGAAGAAGGTGAATAGTGTTCATGAGGAGAGAGTTGCGGCCTGATACTATATACGACGAATGATACTACAATCCTTGATCCAACACCCGCTCCACCTCCGCAGGCAAATCATAGCCAAACACCTCCTGCTGCTGCCTCGCAACCAACCCAGGAAAGAACCCTGCCCACATTAGCACGATCCTCTCTCAACACCCCAAGGAATAAACATACCCATAACCCACATCACCCAATACATCACCCACTCCCCCCACCCGCCCATATCCCTCTTACTATTCTGCATCCCCCTCGCCGTATCCAAAATCCGCTTCACCCTCGGCATCCTCATCTCCACATACCTCTTACACGCCATCTGAATCGCCCTCTTCTCACCCTCAACCCCACCACCACCAGATCCCCTCATCTGCTCCATATACCAAACCCCAACCTCATGCCCCACCAACCTCGCCAACGCCTCCACATCCTCCAACGCCTGACTAGCCCCCTGGCCCGACGTCGACGGCAACGCATGCGCCGCATCCCCCACCAGCACCACGCCCTCCCTCTCCCACGTCGGAAGTTCAGGAGTGGTGAAGGTAGGCCACATGGTCTGCACCTCGACGGAGTTGATGATGTGCCGCACGAGGGGGTCGGTCCAGGTGGAGAATCGCTCTTTCAGTTGAGCCTTCACATCATCTACATCAACATCCCTCCCATCGGGAGGGGTAGATGTAGATGTAGGTGTTGAGTAAGTAGTCCACCAGACTAAGGTATCCCCCGGCTCAGAGACATGATAGGCTGAAGAGCGAGTCGGGGAGGTGGGTGAGCTGGTGGCGTAGAAGTAGCCGAAGAAACCTGTGCCGCTGAAGTGGAGGTTTAGGGAGCCGGGTTCTATACCACCGATTGTGGTGGTGGTGGTGATGGTTTGGGGGATGGTGGAAGTGGGTAGGAAGCCGCCGATACCGATAAGGCCTCTTTCATTTATATATATTATTAGTATATAAACTTCACTTCATGAGATAGATACATAGGGTAGGATAGGGTAAGGTGTATACTCACTCATATCTCGGCCCACCCAACCCCTCCCCCTCACCATCAAGTAAACTCTGTCGAACCACACTCCTCAACCCATCCGCCCCAATCACCAAATCCGCATCCACAGGTTCACTCCCATCCACGAACGTGACCGTATTCCGCTGGGTAGGGTGGGATATCACCCTGGCTACGCGCTTATTATACACGATGATGTTCTCCGGGATACGGCTGTGCAGAGCGAGCCAGAAGTTGTGCCGGCTTGTGCCGAGGAGGTGGAGTGCTTTGTTTCCATTACTGCCTCCACTACTGCTTCCGCTGCAGTCGCTGCTGGACGAGGATGATGATGATGGCAGTTGGATTAGTGTCTTCCCGTGCTTATCTTTCAGGTTGGTGTGGTCGAGCATGTAGCCGCTGCTGACGGCGTCGTGGAGGATGGTCTCGTCGAGGCGTTCGAGGACGCGCAGGCCGTTGGGGGAGATGCCGAGGCCGCCGCCTATGGTTATTTTGTTTGTGGGGTTGGTGGGTTGGTTGGGGGAGTTGGGGGAGGGGTAGGCTTCGTAGATGGTGTATTCGTGGTCTTGGGTTGGTGATGAGGGGGGTGGTGGGGGGAGGTGTTTTCGGAGGGTGAGGTATGCGGTGCAGCCGGAGATGCCGGCGCCGATGATGATGATTTTCATGGTGGTTGTTGTTTTGGAGGTTTGAGGTGTAGGTGTAGGTGTAGATAGGGTGTTGGTTGAGGTGGGGATAAGCTTGAGGTGGGGAGTCATTATGATGTTGTTGCCTACGGGATGAGCCGATGGTCGGAAGTTTATTACCTGTTACTTGGTTGGGGTCTACTTTGGTTTGGTCTGTGTATAGAGTTTGGTGGATCGGGTGGTGGTTGGTATTATGTTCACTAATGTACAATGTACAGAATGGACCTTACTTAAAAGGCACTAGTAGATCGGGATGTCATACGCATCCAGATCATACAACCAAGTGTCAATCGACTTCTGGTCGTACACGCAGTCCATCTCCGTGCCGTTGTTCTTCCACAGAGGACGCAGAGGCCACGAGCAGATCTTCTGCTCCTCTCCCTCGAGATCGCCGCTCAGCACCGTGCCGTTCAGAGTCACCGGCTCAATGCCCTTCTCGACCCAGTTCATCAGGTCGCCGAGGGAGTTCTGGGGGTAGGGTCCGTTGGGCTGAAGAGAGTTGGTGTTGCAGTGGGAGGCACCGGGAACCAGGTAGAGACGGTAGAACTCGTTCAGGGCTTCAACCGAGGCGTTGTAGGTCTTGTTGGGGAACATGGTGTCGCGGACGGACTCGAAGTAGCGCACCGAAGACGCCGGAGGAATGCTGTTGTCCGATTCACCGTGGTAGTGGATGACCTTACCGCCTGCAGCCTGGAAGCGGGACAGGTCGGGCCAGGTGGTCTGCAGGACATCCTCGTAGCGCTGGAGACCCTCGAGCATCCAGTCACGCAGGGTGTCGTAGGTGACGTTGTCCAGAGTGGAGAGGTTGTCGAGGTCCAGCAGCTGCAGTCCGTGAGTCACCCACTCACCACCCAGCTCGGAGATGTCGATACCGTAGGTGCCGGTGGTCGAGTCGTAGGTGGTCTCTGCATCGGTGAACTCCGAGCCAATGCGGTACCAGAAGTAGGCCTGACGACCCTGAGAGTCCTTCAATCCGTCCAGGATGGTCTGAGCGACGCGCACACCCTCCGCCGTGATGGTGCCGTTCTGGGCCGGGGTGGTCACACCCATGCTGGTGGTGGCGTTGCAGGCGTAAGGCTTACCGATGGTGGACTTGAGGTCGAAGTTGAGCTGGCACAGATCTGTGCGGCCGATGACGCCGTCCTTGCGGCCATCGAGTTCATCGCAGGCGTCAATGATCAGAGTCACCATCTCGGAGAACTCGCAGTTCTCAGGGTAGTAGTCGAGGGTCTGTTCCACGACCTGGGGCACCAAGTGGTTGACCTGCTGCTGACCATAGCGGATGGCAGGAGCACCAATGACGGCACCATCCCACTCCTCGGGGAAGCGCTGCACCTGACTCCAGCCCTCACGACCACCCTCGGAGCAGCCCTGGTAGTAGGCATAGAGCTTGTCAGACATGCTGTAGAAGTTCTTGGTGAACGCCTTGCCGATGGAGGACATCTCGTGGTGAGCCTGGTAGCCGAACATGTACAGGGCATCGTAGTTGGCGGTACCATTCACCAGGGGGTACACAGAGGAGAACTGGGTGTCGAAGCTGCCAAAGCCACCGTCGGTCCGGCCGGCGACGGCACCGTAGGGAAGACCAGCAGGCACGTTGGAGGCAACGTTGATGGCAAAGCCAAAGCCACCGGTAGACACCCAGCGGTTCTGGAAGTCATCGGGAGTGGGCATCCAGAATTGCAGCAGGACGCTGTCGTCCTTGCCGGCATGAGAATAAGTCATGGTGATGTTGCAGTAATCATAGGTTCCGGCCGGGTAGTAGTCGGATCCAGAGGTGGATTCATTGTAGACGGGAACCGCAGTGACACTGGAAGGGTTGGTGACCACACCCTGCACCAGGCCGGATGCGGGCACAGCAGCCTTTGCATGAGCAGGGGTACAGACCTGCTCGAGAGTCGCGGCGCGCGCGAGGGCCGCCGCGGAGACGGTCCAAAGGAGGAACTTGGACATAATGAACGACTGACCAAAGGTAAAGAGAGACTGAAGGAGTGACTGGTTGAGTAGAAGATTGACTGCAGCAGGGATACGTAGCCATTATATACGCCTGAGAGAATATTTGAATGGTTCTGCAACCACTGCAAGCAACGTAATCCACCCCACCCACGAAGCATTGGAAACAACCATCTTGATTGAGGATACGGTCGTCCGCCGGTTCGGTTACAACCGAGAGAACTAATCCGGCCGATGAACCTGAAAATGGCAAGGTTTGGGTGCTGCCTGGCGAGAAGGAAATAAAGAATGGAGCAAGGATGACGAGGCCCTGCAGGTACAGGTTCTGCAACTGATGATAAGAGATCAGGTCTCAGCGGTTGGCATGACTGGGGGATTAAGCTTAAAGCTGGTCCACCAGGAAAAGAGCGTTGAAACGGACTAACGCGGCTGGCGGCGATCATCTTCCGAAAAGGTGAAAGTCTCCGCTGCACCCTCCCGCTTATCAGGAAGATTCTCGGCAGTCGCTGCTCGGTTCCTTCCAGAACTGCATGTTTCCAGGTACTGAGAACATGCCCTATACTCTAATCTCCGAATCAGGTCGGGTGAGGTTGCCCAACAAAGACAGTCGGCCAATCCAGTGATCAATGGGCTGATCGGAGACCTTGAAGCTCCTGGTCAATTACTAAAGCAGTATCCATCCCTGTTTGGGTTATACGAGTTAGAAATTATTGGGCAGGTCAGGAACCGCAGTCGTACGAGAATGAAGGTTGCAAGAGCGCAAAGTAGGCAATTAGGTACGGTCCGGTTATCGGAGATGGAATGGGTACATAGGATGAGCCCATCCTGCAGTCTTGTTGCATGCCATGGCTCCCAGAAGATGTCCTAGACAGTGTACCTATTCCTACTCGGACTGAATGTATTCAATGGCAATGGGCATGACGACCAGACCAGCTACAGGAGGCCTAGGTAGCAGCCAGACCATGGTCTGTTGTGGGGCAACACGTTGCAATTGTATTGTGAACCAGACAATGCTGGTTCGAAAACAGTCAATCCATTGTGTCCGTTGGCTGCAGTAGATCCTTAGCAAAATCCGTACTATTGGATCAGATAACGCTGCTGCTGCTGCAGACTGGCCACAATGGTACTCAGATGCCGCATCACGGGATAAAGGGAGAACACCATGCTTTCTGGTGAACTCATTCACTCGTAGAATACGTTCTCAATTCTCCTCAGATTATTGACGAGCGAAAGCAGAAAGCGGTATCCCTTGTTCTGATGTGGAATCTGCAGTCTGCACCCTTTAGGACATTTGCAAGCAGGGTTCCCATAGCGTACAAGTTGCAACATGGTAGGGATAGGGTGGGATGATGTGTCCAGGCCCACAGGGGTATTCTGGAATAGTCTAGTCTGATAAAAAGGGTGCTTGTGGGGGGACAAAGCTGCAAGGCAGAGAATGACTGGAGGAGACAATGTCAGCACGTGACTCGAACGGACAATTTTGTAGCCTCAGGCAGACATTTTACGGGGAACCGTGGATGGAACAGCCATGGATGGATGATGGTACCTTGCCAGAATTTTCATCACTTTTGCTTTCACTACTACAA